AATTTTTAAATTTGAGTTGCAAACTTTTCTGGTCATCAGCATCTATCCATCTGTTACCTGAAACACACGAGGGTTGCGGGTGTGCTGGAAACTATCCCAGCTGCCTTCGGGCAGTAGGCAGTGTACACCCTGAACTGGTTGCCAGCCAATCGCTGGGTCATGTGCATGTCCACCATGTTTGATTTGACAAGGCCCTTGTCAACTTATGCACGTCTACTTGACTGAACCTCATTAAGTGCACAAAGTTTGAGTCTCTGATTCACCAACTGATCTCTTCCGCGGCCATTACCGCTCCTCTTTGTTTGGATGCCATGCTCTAATATAGGATGTAAAAATTTCGCAATTCCAGGAAAACTCACTGCAACAAAGAGTCGCTTGCATGTCGCCGTTTTGGATCCAATGACAGAAAATAGCGGTGCGGATACATCTATTTCGTCGTATCGAGCGGGACTTACTTGATTTAGTGCTACTGCGGGCTTCCGTATCGTCTCCCCCTCCCTCCCTGTGCTCTGCGACTTCAAGTAACTGCGCCACCTGGCGTTTAAATGCCTGTATTACAAGTCCAAATGAAATTAATGCAATAATTTACATCGAACCATAATTATGTACTGTACCAACCTTCGGCGGGCCGGATGAAAAAGACCAACGGGCCGGATCCGGCCCGCGGGCCGTAGTTTGCCCATGTCTGTCCTAGCCCCTTCTGGAGCTAGGCCTGGAGGTGGTGCTCGTTGGCAAGCTCCCGAAAAACAATGTCGCTCTCCTTTTCCATGGGCTCACATCCTGGGTGAGGGACCAGAGTGGTCGGGTGCTTTGTGAAGTGGGCGGTGGACAAAGGCTGTAAGGAATCCCGTCAAGCTGAAGAAGAAATCCTATCAGGTCTTTCTGTCCTGTGGGAATCTGAACACAGCTGATGGGTAGCGGCTGGCCACGTAGAATGCAGCATCGGCAGTCATAGAGGCAAAAACTCAGGCATGGGAGTAGATTAGCCATGGAAAACGACTTCCGGACGACTTTGGGGAAATTCCGGTCCATCATTCGGCATCTCAGGAAGGGGAAGCAGTGCACCATTAGCAGTGTGTCTATTAGAGATGGAGGACTGCTGGCCTCGACTCGGGACGTCGTGAGTCACGGAGGGGATACTTCTAAGACCTTCTCAATCCCCCCCGACACACCTTCCTTTGAGGAAGCATAGTCTGGGGACTCTGAAGTGGGCTCTCCTATCTCTGGTTTTGAAGTTACCGAGGTGGTTAAAAAAACTCTTCGGTGGCAGATCCGCCCAGAGTTAGGAAAGACTCCAGATGGATTTTGGGGCTGTCCTGGTTGACATTCCTCTACAACATCACATGGACATTGGGGACAGTGCCCCTGGACCGGCAGACCTGGGTGGCGGTCCCTCTTTTCAAGAAGGGGGATCGGAGGGTGTGTTCCAATTACGGAGGAATCACACGCCTCAGCCTCCCTGGTAACGTCCATTCAGTGGTGCTGGAGAGGAGGGTCTATCGGGAGGTCGAATCTCAAATTCAGGAGGAGAAATGTGGCTTGGTCTCAGCCGTAGAACAGTGGAGCAGCTCTATCTACTATTTAATTAGCACTTCTCTAGGGCATTACTGAGCAAGATTTGTTGACTTGATTTATGACTTGCTTGAACCAAGTAATGATTTGACTGAATTGAAATGTGGTGGACTCGACTTGCTTGACTTTCTTTTCCTCCAGTAACTCGGGGACTTGCTGGAAATGTGAAGTTTATGACTTTACGAGGCTTGCTTGTGACTTGCACATATGTGACTTACTCCTACGTCAGCCCTTACGTACTTGATGGTGAGGATATTGAACTTTTTATTTCATAGATTTCTTGCCAGTACACATCTGCAGCCAACAGACGCCAGAAGACTGTTTCCTTGTTTCGATGAGCCGGAAATGAAAGCTGTGTTTGATGTGTCAATCATTCATCGAGAAAACATGATGGCACTTGGAAATGAAGCTGTGGCAGGTGAACAAATAATATTTAGAATCAAACCGTGTATTGAAACAAGGAAAAATGTATACATTTACACTATCTACTTAACACCGCCCTCACGTCTACTTGACTGAACCTCATTAAGTGCACAAAGTTTGAGTCTCTGATTCACCAACTGAACCACATTGGCATCAAAAACAGCTGATGTAGTTTTGAAGTGATGATTACAGTATACATGTTTACTCTTTATTTCAATATATATTGTAAGAGTAAAAGTGCTAAATAGGTCGTTGTAAACACTCATGCAAACGTAAATTTTAAAACAAACATGCATTATTCACGAAGTAGATATCATTTTATTTCATACTCTCCATTTGTTTAATTTTTAGAGCCCTTCCATGAGCTCTCACCTTACCGTGGTGGCGGTGTTTGTGTGTCCCAATGATACTAGAAGCTAAGTTGTCTGGGGCTTTGTGCCCCTGGCAGGGTCACCCATGGCAAACAGCTCCTCGGTGAGGGACCAGATAAACGATGGTTCATATGACCCTTAATGATTATTGATATAAATGGACCTCGTTTTCACTTGCCTGGATGCGAGTCATCCTAGCCCCTTCTGGAGCTAGGCCTGGAGGTGGTGCTCGTTGGCAAGCTCCCGAAAAACAATATCGCTCTCCTTTTCCATGGGCTGAGCGGCTGGCCACGTAGAATGCAGCATCGGCAGTCATAGAGGCAAAAACTCAGGCATGGGAGTAGATTAGCCATGGAAAACGACTTCCGGACGACTTTGGGGAAATTCCGGTCCATCATTCGGCATCTCAGGAAGGGGAAGCAGTGCACCATTAGCAGTGTGTCTATTAGAGATGGAGGACTGCTGGCCTCGACTCGGGACGTCGTGAGTCACGGAGGGGATACTTCTAAGACCTTCTCAATCCCCCCCGACACACCTTCCTTTGAGGAAGCATAGTCTGGGGACTCTGAAGTGGGCTCTCCTATCTCTGGTTTTGAAGTTACCGAGGTGGTTAAAAAAACTCTTCGGTGGCAGATCCGCCCAGAGTTAGGAAAGACTCCAGATGGATTTTGGGGCTGGCCTGGTTGACATTCCTCTACAACATCAAATGGACATTGGGGACAGTGCCCCTGGACCGGCAGACCTGGGTGGCGGTCCCTCTTTTCAAGAAGGGGGATCGGAGGGTGTGTTCCAATTACGGAGGAATCACACGCCTCAGCCTCCCTGGTAACGTCCATTCAGTGGTGCTGGAGAGGAGGGTCTATCGGGAGGTCGAATCTCAAATTCAGGAGGAGAAATGTGGCTTGGTCTCAGCCGTAGAACAGTGGAGCAGCTCTATCTACTATTTAATTAGCACTTCTCTAGGGCATTACTGAGCAAGATTTGTTGACTTGATTTATGACTTGCTTGAACCAAGTAATGATTTGACTGAATTGAAATGTGGTGGACTCGACTTGCTTGACTTTCTTTTCCTCCAGTAACTCGGGGACTTGCTGGAAATGTGAAGTTTATGACTTTACGAGGCTTGCTTGTGACTTGCACATATGTGACTTACTCCTACGTCAGCCCTTACGTACTTGATGGTGAGGATATTGAACTTTTTATTTCATAGATTTCTTGCCAGTACACATCTGCAGCCAACAGACGCCAGAAGACTGTTTCCTTGTTTCGATGAGCCGGAAATGAAAGCTGTGTTTGATGTGTCAATCATTCATCGAGAAAACATGATGGCACTTGGAAATGAAGCTGTGGCAGGTGAACAAATAATATTTAGAATCAAACCGTGTATTGAAACAAGGAAAAATGTATACATTTACACTATCTACTTAACACCGCCCTCACGCCCTTCTTTCAGACTCTGGTCTTATAGATAACTGGGAAGTCACGCACTTTCATCCCACACCAAAAATGTCCACATACTTGTTGGCATTCACCGTTTCAGAGTTCACACCCACCCCATCGGAGCACGACCGTGTGAAAATTCAAGTAAGTTTGCTCTGATATTAAGATGCATTGAGTTGTTTTGCTGTGTTTACTGGCAATGCCTTTTGCTTCCCTTTACACTACCATTTGTTTAGGTACTTATGAGGACAAAATTGTTGGTTCCCTTCCGTGAAAGAGATAATAACACAGGTGCGACCAGTGCAGAAGACTCGTTGTGCAGTTAAAAATCATTCTGTTAGACCACAAAAAAAAAGAGAAAAAAACGCAGTGCCTGCTTTTCTTTCATTAATTTTCAACAAATTAAGCTAACTCTAATGGGAGGGCACCAGCATTTTTGTCCATGTGTATAAATGTTTTAGTTGAGAATTAAAACCAAACTGAACCTTATGTATCCTGCCTTCTATGGTTTTCTCATGCAGATATTTGCTCGGCCAGAGGCTACTGATGCTGGACACACTCAATATGCAGCAAATGTTACTGGAAAGATTCTTATGTTCTACGAGAAACAATTTGAAATCAGTTACCTTCTGAAAAAGCTTGGTAAGAATTTATGTGAGGTCATGATCGAGAAAATTCAGTGTGTGGCTCCAATGTGATGATATGTCATGAAAGGTCTTCTAAACCTCAACTGAATTGTTTGCAGTTATGTATCATGACAAGTGTAATTAGTTTGAATCGTCTGTGCCATTATGAGCAAATGGTGTCCGCTTACCAACATCACCGAACTCTAGGAGCCCGATTTTCGTTCCGAGCACCAGTTTACTGGATTTTTCTTTGTTTTTGTACTTTGCTTGACTTTGAGTTGGTAGAATTGGGCGTAACACGAGTGTGCCGTGCATGGCATTGCGGCAATACAAATAGACTCACTGCGGTCCGTTCGTGACATTGGCAGGTGAACTGCAAGATTTCCCCTTGCAGCTGCTGTAGTCAGCTGTGCATGTGACATGTGCAATTGCCTTATTGTGTAACCACCCAACTAACCCACCCCCTCCCACCGCAATAGTGAGGTGTCATGGGGGTGTTATTAAAATATTTTTAAGATTTGAATGATTATAATCCGTTCAATGAATAGATTTCTACACTGAAATCCCATGATGTCCACCACACACACATCTGTGGTGCGGTCAATTTGTCCGCTTGTGCCTTCATCAAATCCACCAAAATCGCATTAGATGGCCAGCGCTGTGAGATCGACCTGCTTTTTGCGAGTCTAAAATCTACCCTATATTTTGTAACCAAATATGTCGATGCCCCGTAGCGTATCTACCAAAAATTTACAAACAAGCTGAACTAGACCGCACGAATATGATGATACACCCGATTTTACGTCCAGGGCTGACTACTTTTTGTTACCAAATTGTCAGATGAGTTGGGGATGAGGCAACTCTGTGCGCTGGCCCATCCAGAGATGTAAAACACAACCTCACTCACACACTATGCTAGACTTGCACCGGCACAAAAATAAAGTGACACCCATTTTTACGCCAAGCGCATTTGTGTCAGTCCACCGAAATAGGGCTCGAAGGGTTTCTAATATTTCCTCGATGTGGTGAGTTATGCTGACTTTGACTCTCTCACTGTTTATTGAACTTTAACATTACGTATATGTGTAACCTCGGTGACCGTTGTAACTCCGCTGTAAACATTTTTATCTGTCTAACCATCCAATGACAACCCCTGTCTTTGTTTTTCCATCATAAAACCATTATTGATAGAGAGGGAGCAATAAATGATGTTATCTAAACGTTATATGCTAAAAACTGTTTGTGGACAATCTGAGGCTTTGTTGCTAATTTTGTTGGGAGTGGAGAAGGCAGATTTGAAACATTGTTCATATGTCGCCAACTTCTGAACATCAGTATTGTTGTCCCTACATATATTGTCTGCGCCTTGAGAGCATTTCTGGAAGAAGAACCTCAGTCTTACTGTAATTGTGCTTCATCATTCCCCCAGATCAAATTGCACTGCCGGATTTATCTGCTGTAGCGATGGAAAACTGGGGATTAATCACATATGACGAAGGAGTCTTGCTGTATGAAGAGGGAGTGTCATCCCAGTTGCACAAGGAAACAATCTCTTATATCGTTGCACACGAACTGGCACACCAGGTTGGTAAAAAAAACAAACAAAAAAAGACAGCTGAATCCGTAAAACTTTCCTTCCCAACAAAAACTGTTTTCCACACCAGACCTGACAAAATCACGACGGTTCATTCTGGACTGCTGAATGCCTCATACCAGAAGGTTCTCGCATTGAATCTCAGCTTGGATCTTTCTATGATTTGGCTTGTTCTCAATTTGAGTGTGTGGCTGTGGGTCATTTGACAGTCCATGTTAGGGCCATTGAAGACTGGTTGTGTTTTTGTCAACAAATTTCCATTTTCTACTACCGTATGTTGTTCTGTTCGTTATGCGATTGACACTTTCGTAGCTCTGATGAAATACCACATGTATTACCTGGTCTGCTGGGTTCCAAGCGGATACTATATGAGTGACTTAAACACCGCTCGTCCCTGAGTTCGCCGTGGCATCCGTCAAAATATTTTGACAGATGTAATACATTTAGGAATCCCTGAAACACTGACCATAAAATCATGAATCAGACTCTGCTGCAGTATTATACAAGTTACACCAGTGGTCTGCGCACTTGCTCCCATCAGTCTGTTATGAAAATAAAACTAAATTCTCTGAATCTAAATGATTCAATGCTGTCGTATTCGAAATGGTGCCTTTTAAGATTCGGTCTCCTTTTGCTTACAGTGGTTTGGAAATCTTGTGACAATGAAATGGTGGAGTGAAATTTGGCTCAATGAAGGCTTTGCCACCTACATGTCAACTTTGGCACTGGACGAAGTTGAACCGACGTTTAAAGTGGTGAGTTCAGAATTATGTACATGTGGGTCATTTGACAGTCCATGTTAGGGCCATTGAAGACTGGTTGTGTTTTTGTCAACAAATTTCCATTTTCTACTACCGTATGTTGTTCTGTTCGTTATGCGATTGACACTTTCGTAGCTCTGATGAAATACCACATGTATTACCTGGTCTGCTGGTTTCCAGGCGGATACTATATGAGTGACTTAAACACCGCTCATCCCTGTGTTCGCCGTGGCATCCGTCAAAATATTTTGACAGATGTAATACATTTAGGAATCCCTGAAACACTGACCATAAAATCAAGAATCAAACTCTGCTGCAGTATTATACAAGTTGCACCAGTGGTCTGCGCACTTGCTCCCCTCGGTCTGCTATGAAAATAAAACTAAATTCTCTGAATCTAAATGATTCAATGCTGTCGTATTCGAAATGGTGCCTTTTAAGATTCGGTCTCCTTTTGCTTACAGTGGTTTGGAAATCTTGTGACAATGAAATGGTGGAGTGAAATTTGGCTCAATGAAGGCTTTGCCACCTACATGTCAACTTTGGCACTGGACGAAGTTGAACCGACGTTTAAAGTGGTGAGTTCAGAATTATGTACAGGATGTCTGCAGTGTATAATTTGCCAATTATTTAAAGGTAGCGATGGATTTGGGCAAGCGATATTTGAGAAGTGGCAGTTTTGTTTTTTTTTTTTGGTCTTCATCTCTGTCAAGCACTTTGCCTTGCATTTCTGATGTATGAAAAGTGCTGTATTTTCTCCCAGAGAGATATGTACATCATGCATGAACTCCATGGAGCACTTGAGCAGGACGCATTGGCTTCTTCACATCCTCTTAGCGTCCCACAAGAAAATATCCAGTCCACTTCACAGATCATCGAGATGTTTGATGTTATATCCTACTACAAGGTATACCAAAATGCATATAAAACTACAGACAGATGTCATCATCCAATACTTATATTCTTGTTTGCAGTTCAGATAAGAGGCCGCGTACCTTGTATATTAGCATTCAGATAACTTGTTTCTTCTTGCGGTAGGGAGCACTTGTGCTCAGAATGCTGGCCGACGCTGTGGAGCAAAGAGTTTTCGACAAAGGGCTTAAAGTAAGTGTTGAGATACCGTTGTTCGAATCAGCCGAAACAGTAACCTAAGTATCGTACGTCTGTAGCAAGACACATTTTGCTGTTGGGAATAAATTCTACGCTCAGTATGAAAAAAAAAGACCAGTTGGGACTCAGGAACACTTTTTTTTGGTATTATTCGGGAGGGGGTGGGGGGTTGTCACTGGTTGTCTAATCAATTCTAATTTCTAGACATCATTGCACAAATTAAAATAATTCATTCCAGAGATGAAAGATGGCCCTCATAAAAACCTTTATGAACTGTGTAGCCTTTGTGAGTAACATTTAAAATTCTTGACTTGCATGTACATGTGTAAGTTAACCACTCTTAAGGGAAAAAAAATAGATTGTTAAAACAATGTTTCCCAACAAACTTCCTGTTTTGTCATAAATGAGCATTTCCCTGGAGTTCAAACACTGCAGCCTTTTTTGATCATAATCAACAGCATTGGACTGATCAAGCAGTACATGACGAATGCATCAAACGTATTTTGCCAGTCGTGAAATATTAATTGAAGAACATCCAAATTAAAGAAAAATAATATATTACCAATGTATTAAAATTGTATGTAAAAGAGAATATATTACTAATGTATCAAATTCATTACGAAGTACCTGGTTTTATCAAGACAACATTACACAGATAATAACGAGAGTATTTGATGAATGAATGTGAATCAGGTGACACTTCATACAATATTTCAGTCCCCATGTGTTACAAACATCGTAGAAATTGCAGCACAAGGGGTTACGGAAAAAAATATATATTGTTAAAACAATGTTTCCCAACAAACGTCCTGTTTTGTCATAAATGAGCATTTCCCTGGAGTTCAAACAGCCTTTTTTGATCATAATAATCATCATAATCAACAGCATTGGACTGATCAAGCAGTGCATGACAAATGCATCAAACGTATTTTGCCAGTAGGGAAATATTAATTGAAGAACATCCAAATTAAAGAAAAATAATATATTACCAATGTATTAAAATTGTATGTAAAAGAGAATATATTACTAATGTATCAAATTCATTACGAAGTACCTGGTTTTATCAAGACAACATTACACAGATAATAACGAGAGTATTTGATGAATGAATGTGAATCAGGTTGTTAGGGTTTGGATGTGACCCCAATAGCACGACAACAGGCAGGTATCGTTGAAGCCAACACTTGGCGTAGTTTATTTGAAGAGTCTTCGCAAAGTCACTCAGGGGGAAGCACGAGGAGTCCACAAGGGAATGTCCACACAAGGAACAAGAAGCTGTAGGAGATGGCAACAGAGTCCACTGGCGTGGTGACGGCACGAACTTGCACTGAGGAATGGTCTGTGAGTCAATATGTACCAGTCCAAACGAGCAGATAGGCAACAGGTGGGTGATGAGCTGACGAGTCTCAGGTGTGAGGTGCAGAGCACCCTGGCTGAGGAGGCTGCCTGGCTGGTCCCTCCCTAACACAGGTGACACTTCATACAATATTTCAGTGTAAGTTTAGGACAATACCAATATAGTCATAGAGGGAATTCGAAAGATTTTATAGTATTCTGAAGTATTATTGAAATTCAAATGTGTATTTCGTCTGGACATTGTTCCACTTTTTTTTTTTTTTTTTTTGAATGAGCGTCACGGAACGTAGGATACAGATTTTCAATCTGAGGCCAAAACATTCACAATGTTCCCCAAAAAAATAACGTTTGGTGTGTGTGGCGCCTGTGGAGCGTAACAGAGCTTTTGATACGCACATGACAAGGCTCGGTGCAGGAACAATTACACTGTTTTGTACTGCGCACAGTCCGCCCACCAGGTCCAGTGAATCAGAGCAGGATGAGTGAACCCTTTGACCGCCAGGCAATCACTTTATATCCCAACATCTGTTTTGCGTTTTTATCTTTGTTTAGAACACAAGCCGACATGCAAAATATTTCGATGAAATCCATCCCTTCTGAGGGTCCTTTTTTCTTCCTCCTTGCAATTTTTTTTCGCTCCCCTATGAGACTTTGGCGTTGTATTATTTTAAATGCTTCTGTCAAGTCAATTTCACAGACCAAGGAAACAACGTTTTTACAGACCTACTCGAAGAGGCTTTGAGGCTCAAAACTGTCCAAAGAGAAAAGGTGTAACAAATTTCAGTTTAGCGTTTGTGATGTTATGAAATGAAATACTGTATCGGTATGTGTAACTTCTATGGACCCAGGTTCATGAAAGAGTATCTTGTATAGCCACCCATCCATTTTCTAATCCGCTCATCCTCACAAGGGTCGCGGGTGTGCTAGAGCCTATCCCAGCCGTCTTCGGGCAATAGGTGGGGGACACCCTGAACCAGTTGCCAGTCAATCGCAGGGCACACAGAGACGAACAACCATCCGCGCTGACACTCACACCTAGGGACAATTTGGAGTGTTCAGTCAGCCTGCCATGCATGTTTTTGGAATGTGGGAGGAAACTGGACCGTGCCACCCGTGTACTGTCTATTCTTTGCTTATTCTTGAAAATATTTACGAACTTACAGTCGGTCCATGCCCTGTCTTAAAAAAAAACCCAAATGAGCACCCAATGTTGCCGCAAGGCTTTTTTTTTAACTCCCAAAGGTTGAGCCGCATCAGTCCTGTTTGCCAGTCTTGCACTGGCTCTCGGTTAAGTTTAGAATTTACAGGCTCCTCAATGGAGTTGGAATGTTGTGTAAAACATCATTAAAAAAAGAATACATTGTACATTGACACATGATATTTTATGCCTTGTTACAACTTCATTGAAACTGAGTTTTGTGCTGATTATATTATCATAATATTCTCGCACATAAATGGCCCTGCCTTCGGATATGTGACCCCAGGAGGTCAGTTTCTCTGCCATCTGTATCAATGATACTCCATTATCTCCATAACTGGGCGGGAACCGATAGCCAAAGGATTCAGTGCCCTGTGATTGACTGGCAACGAGCCTACTTTTGCCCAATGTCAACCATGATAGGCTCGGGCTCTCCGGGACCCTGATATGGATCCAGTAGTACTGGTATAGAAAATGGAAGGGTGGCATTCATCGCTGTGATAAGAATCAGAATCAGAATCAGATTTGGTGGCCAAGTATGCAAGAAACACTTCAGGAATTTACTTCCCAGTTCGAAGCCGGAACATAAACAAGACAGCAATAACCTCTGTCCATGAGCCACTCCTGTTTTCTACTCTGATTCTCTTCTTTAAAATAATTCTGTCTACTCTATGTTGATCCAATCTTGTTTTTCTCAACAGATGTTTTGCAGTGTTATATTTATTACGAGCAGCAATTTAAACTTGGACATAATGGGAAGCATCTTATTCTCGAGAATTACTAGATAGAAAAGATTGTCGGGTTACAAAAAAAAAAAATCTTCAGAAGTGGGCAGGTTTGATGAGATCAAGCCTGGTGTAACATTGCAAAATATCTGGAACCAATTATTTTTCTCCCAAGTCGTCTGGACAGCAGTGGCCCATGTGGAGATATGAAATCCTGACTTTATAAATATGTAACGATGTGCAACTCGTCCAGCCGCAGAGCAGACAGGCTTTTTTTGATATGCAACAAACAGTTGTTGTTGTTGGGGTTTTTTTTGTCGAGTAACAAACAATGATGCAACGAAAACAAGCAAACAAACATAAAGCAAAAAAAAAAAAAAAAGTGCTACTGATGACAAAATAAAAGGTCAAAAACACAGATGAATTAAGAGATTGGAAAACAGAAAACGGTGGTGTTGATAATGGAGCACCCTCAACCAAAAGAGAAAACAAGGGAAACTGTCGCTTCATGGCGAAGGGAAAAGAGAGATGGAGGGTTGGCAGCAAGATCTCAAAACTTATCAGATCGAACAAACTCAGGATCCAGTGAAGCAATACCATGTACTGGAAAGTGTCACCATTGTGAGTCGGTCGGAGGCACGAGGCCATGCGGGTCGTCGGCTGAGATCGCGGGATGATGTGTCGTTTTGTCACAACATCTCGGAAAACATTCTGTTCAGCCCGCCCGAGGTAGCTGCTTTCCCATTTTGTCATTCAGGCGGATCCATAAACTTGGTCTTTTAAATGGACGGAAAGTCAGTGTTCACATTTTTTTAGATTGAACCAAGTCTGAAAGCAGTTCCAAGCCCACGTTGTTAGCTTTATTTCAGCTCTTCTTTAATTGGTTGAGGTCAGCTGATGTCACCCGATCACAACTGGACGTTTGACATCTCTCTTCGTTCCTTGCCTTCATCCTCATCTGATGAGGAAATGTGTCCAAATGAGAGGAAAGCGAAACTAACCTCTGAGTGGATCATGACAAAAAAAAATCTTCTGCTGCTTCTGTCTACTGGCAAATATTTTATCTTTTCAATCTTCTAATAGTACACGTAAAAAAATAAAAACACCCCAAATATGAGGAAACCTAACCCTTTCCTCTCCCTTTTTCATCTTCCCAGATGTACCTCAGTGCCTTTAGACATGGAAACACTGACCAAGATGACCTTTGGGGTTATATACGAAAGGTAAGTTCACAAAAATCAAACACCCTCCCCCCCCGAAACAAATCTTTGGAAGCCTATATAAAAGGAAAGCATCTTTTACACCGTTTTGTTCTGTGCGTTCAGGCTGTTGTTGATGACGGGGGTCACACTGATGTTGCCGAGACGATGCACACATGGACCAATCAAAATGGATATCCCGTCATTACCATCAACACGACCACTGGTGAAATTGACCAGAAGCAATTCCTCTTCAACAGTTCTTTGGACTCGAGGTATGTGATGTTTTACATTCCGAGCAAAACAGATTTAGTTCGAGTTACCTCTTATGTTAGCTCTTGTAAACAGCCAACAAGAGCAGACGCCACCAGCAGTGAGCAAACCCAACAGTAGTTAATCAACCAAAAGTACGCATGAGTACAAAACAAAAATAATCAGCAAAAATAGAAAACTATGCTACATTCTTTGTTCTTGTCATTAAAAATAGAGGAAAAATGTACACGCTTTTCATTCGACTTTGTCAAAATGCATTTTGACCAGGAAGAAAAAAGGAAATAATAAATTCGGCGTTCCATCCAATGCAGAGTAGATGCACTGTTTATGTAAATGATGAAGAAGTATAGCCTCAAAACAATTCTAGTTTCAGTTCCAACCAGACCTCTGAAGGTAACTCCGACTCGAAAACGGGCTTGATTTCCCTTCATTCGATCGCAGCTCAAGATTATGCGGTCCACGTTAGCAGTAAATGACAGCGACATTATATTTTACTTATGTGAGCGAGCGCATCTGACGTCAGATGTTACCCCTAAATTGACCGGCCACAATATTAGGCACACCTATACAGTGAGGCAGCATCATCATTCGGCTTCTGCAAAGCTTGTTGGTGACTTGATCAAACGAATCAGGTGTGTTGGAGGAGGGAAACATCTAGAACATGCCGGAATTGCACGCTGATTAACTGTCTGTTGTTTTGACCGTTCAGTTTTTTGTGGCATATTCCAATCCGAGTGTTGTCAAATACATCGGGAACTTCTCTCGTCTGGTTGAAGACCAGAAGCGCAGGTAAGAAAATAGCATTTTTCCTTCCTTCCCGCTCTCTCTGTCAATCTATACACACAAACAACATTAACCAATGTTTCCTTTGGAGCAGTTAAAGATCCGTTCATTTCTAAGCATGGAGAGTGGATCCTTGCAAATGTCAACTGTACTGGATACTATCGGGTCAATTACAACCCAGATAATTGGATAAACCTCCTCAGTCAGCTGGAATCAAACCGCAATGTGAGTATTAAGCCATACTGGCTAATAATAGAACTGGTGTGCATATTTTATAATTTGATTTGAAAATGATGACTTAGATTGAGGATATGGGAGAGCAGGCCCACTGTCGGTTTGTCGTAAGATGTTTGTGTAAAAGCAAAATTATGACTGGATGGACTGTTGGTTGGAACACTCTTGAGCAAGGCGCCAGACCAAAATAGTTGGAGCTTGTGTTGCGGGGTCACCACCGCTCGCAGGTTCAATGTCTATTCCTTATGCCCCCTTTTTCCCCCCATTGAACTGACAATGGTTGCAAAACTTTTTACGCAGCTATCACAAGTTTTGTGTTCCTGAATGGATTGGTTAATTTATTCAATCATCTGTAAGAAAAAGGAAACAGAACAATGAATAGTTTTCAGGGAAATGAAACAAGCCAATCGAAAAGGTGCAGAATGAAGTTTCAGCTGATTAAACTTATGCCCCCCCTTTTTTTCCCATGAGATGAACATGTCTTGTAAAGAATGAAGTTTCAGCTGATTAAACTTATGCCCCCCCCTTTTTTTCCCATGAGTTGAACATGTCTTGTAAATTACATATTGTGCACATTTGTTTTGAACACGTCTCATCTTTTTTTTTTTTTGCTGTCCAGCGCATTCCAGTGATGAATCGAGGGCAGCTCATTGATGATGCATTTCATTTGGCAAGGTATTACTGCTGTTGTATCCTTAAATCTTTGAAGATGAGCATTGATGGAATTGGACCCCCACAGATTAATTTTCTGTGGATCAACACAATCGAATATGGTCTTGATCAGTGACTTTGCTCAACTTTTCTTTTAGGGCCAAAATACTTGATGTGACTCTGGCTCTAAATACAACGTGGTTCCTTCGCGATGAGAAAGAGTACATCCCCTGGGAGTCGACAGTTCGGAATCTTGAGTACTTCGTCCTCATGTTTGACCGCTCGGAGGTGTATGGACCGATGCAGGCACGTTCCATTCTGTTCCATGACCAGCAGTATCATTACTTACAAATCATACTGTACATGACCCTACTATTTGTGACTCCATAACACGGTTTTTCCTTCAGCTCTATCTTCGGGCTCAAGTTAAAAACTTGTACAGTTACTTCAGAAACCTCACAGACAACTCGGAAATTCCAGTGGACCATTCATTACAGTAAGGAACACATGTTTTCCCTACACTAAAGTTCTGTTTGTATTTTTATGAATTTGATGTACTGTGTCACAAGCATATTATACAATATATACATCTTAACCCTTTCAGGAACAGTGGACAGCTTATCATGTTATCTGGTTACAGGGTGCATTTAGGGTTAAGATTCCCTCGAGGATTTAAAGTTTTTTTAAATACATAAATACACGTCAAAAAATACATCAATGTGATCAATATATTGATCACCAATAAACAACTTTATTGGTGATCAATATATTGTCATTAAAATAAAAGATAATTAAATCATTTCTTTTTTTCTGTAGTAGCTCATGTTATTGTTGTTTAGCCGATCCCGGGTGAAAGGTGTGCTACATACTGGTCGCTTGACAATCGCAGGGCACATAGAGACAAACAACTCAATCGCATGCCGAGTCTACAATTCGCCTACGAAACAAGGAAACCGGTGGAAGCAGGAGGAAATCGGAGGACTGGGAAAAAAAAAACAATCAAGCACAACATGTAGGCTGAGTGAAATTGAACATCAGAATCAATGTTGAGTACGGCTGTCATTAATATTAAAAGTAGTGGTGGCGTAAAGGGGTTACGAGGTGAGGCACGGGGTGAATCTTTAAGTGTGTGTGTGGGGGTGGGGGGGCAAGTGCAGGTAAAGACATGCGAAGACTATACAAGCATTTTTACTCGGAGGACTCACTTCATCGCCGACATTTGATCCACTCTTCATTTAGTTAAGCAGAACCGTGCTTCTGCCACTCATAGTGGACACCAAACGCAACTGCCTCGTACCCCCAACACGTCTGCAACTTTTCTGAGCAATCAATGATGTGCTGATTATCAGTGCTATCACTGGTCGATAAATTGTCCCCTTTAATATTTTGTTCCAAGGCAACACAGTATGACGAATGGTGAGCATGTCTGCCTCACAGTGGGAGCACTGCTGTGTGCCGTTAGCATGTGCTACATAGACTTTTCCACAGTCCAAAAAAATATCCAGGACAGCAGTTTGACACGTGTGCTTTTCCAGGCTTTCACCATGGCCTCTTTTACTTTTTGGATTGTTTTGGCGGTTACTAATTTTAGTCTCCTCTTTAGTCGATAAAATTCAGGATTCAGATGGTTGAAGTCTGGAGATGGACTTTCCCATTGTCAAACCTCCCACTTCTTTCCCGCATGAACTCCTTTATGATTTGGGTCATTAGCTCGCTGCATGATGAAGCATCTTCTAATCAGTTTGTTGGATTTTTTTTTTTTTTTTTTTGGCAGACAAAATGTTTTTGTACACTTTTGAGTTCATTTTGCTCATGACATCATGTCTTACATCTGTGAAAATTTTTGAGCCCATCCCAGAAGAAAACATGCAAGCCCAGGTTGGCGACATTATTGCTGCTGAGTTTCTCAGATGCTTGGGATATTTTACTGATCCTTCCTTTACGGAAGTTTTTGCCTTTCCATCAATATGATCAAGGTTCATTATCAATAAAGGTAGGTAAATAGTTGGCTTAGGGTTAGGTCGGTAGGTAGGCATTCAGTGCTTTTTATTGTTTGAAAAATTATTGCAATAGGACAACACTGGACAACAAAACATATGCGGGCTTTGCTTTGCCAATCAATATAACAAAGCAAGTTGACTGATTATTTTACAAAAGAAATAACAGTGGGTTTCATTTCAAGGCACAACCAGATCACAGCCATTGACGTGGCTTGTTCCAATGGACTCCAAGAATGCATCCAAAGGGCTACGTGGATGTTTGACGACTGGATGAATGGCAATGATACCAACGCCAACAGGTAAAGACACACCTGGCAATGTAAAATGTGTTACAGATTCAACCTATTTCTTCTTCCTGATTGATTTAAATAATCTAACAGTGTGGTGGTCTTAAATATGTAAATTGTTATTATTGTGTGGCTTTCGTCCCCAGCAATGGTGTAGCAAAGGCAAGTATAAGTTTTAGACCAGTGACTAACTCAAAAAGTTTTTGAGGTCACCTTATCGGAGGCAAAGCAAGACCTAAGAATGTATTCCCTCATCTCCGAAATATCCCAGATAGAAAATGAAATCTTAGGATAAAATACTTTACGACAAACATTGTTAAATTGATGAATAGTGTTACACATCCTAAACCTACAATAGCACAAAACTGCAGCTTGAACATGTGGGTGTAATGGCACATAAAGTCATGTAAATGAATAACACATAAAACACTTTGGTAGCTTGGAAACTTCATATTCATGTAGTCAGAATTTTGCTTTTCGTATTAGAAAAGCCTGGATGTGAATAGAAAACATATAGCGACCTCTGAACACCACTATGCAGAATGCCCTGATTGACTTCTTTGCTGCTGAGCCAGGGAGTGTAATTGTTGGGTTTTTGCTGGTAATCGCATGCTAAGACTACATCAGGAATAGAAAGACTCAGCAGGCAGGCATGGTTGTCTTTCTTGCAAGAGAGAGTGCGCTAAAACATGTCTTCGTTCACAATTTTGGAGCAGCTCTCCAGCTGGCTTTGCCATTTAAACAGTTACAGGTTCTGTGGCAACTCTGAAGAGAGCGCATTTGCCTCCTTGCATTTATTGAAAGGACGCCCCTGGTACACGATCTTCGAATGGATGTGGGGGAGTGTTCACATATTTCAGAACAGCAATGAGTCCTCCAAATGGGGCATTGAATCAGAATACACAATGCGTTCCTGAGGTGGTCAAACGGGTCATGCTGCGGGTCCGTCATTGCTTGACGTTAACGTCCCACAGTCCGTCGTCCTTGAGTTGATGTTATCTTCACAAACAGCAGTTAACTTTTATCAAAAGCCGTTAACCTCAACAAAAGGATGTTAACTGAAAAGCCGAGAGTGGGACCCTTTTGGTCTCTCCTCGACGGTCAAACCCCCCATCCTATTGTAAATGAGATTTCTGCAGAGTCACACTCTTGAACAAACCCCTTGTAACTACAATAGGAGTAAATATGGGATAAACATGAGCATTTATTCTAACAGTAATTAAAGGGGGCGTCAACCCCAAGATTTTCCTGACAAGAATATGTTCTATGTGCCTCCATGAGTCCAAACACGGCATTCTGATTAGTAATCTGTTTTTGGAATATAAATTAAAGCAGCAAAATCCACAGTTGCTCAGGGCTCAGGTGGCAACTCATCATGACTCAGCTTCAGAAAACAGGTGAGCCGTGATTGGTCATTACCTGAGCGCCGAGCAACTGTGATGTCATTTCACCTTGACAGAAAGTGGCAAAATGGCCACTGCCTGAAATGGATAAAAACCGGTGGATTTTGCTCATGTTCCAAAAATGTAAAATGAATCAGAATGCCACGGTTGGACTAGTGGGGCTACATAGAACATAATATCGCAAAGAACATTTTCGAGTCGACTTCCACTTTAATTTTTATTGAATTTGTGCTGTGTGAAGTGAAGGCAAAGTTACGTCCCTAACAGCATGCAATGTCCCTTCACGTCATAGAACCATAGTTAAATATGTAATTGTCGTTTTATTAGAGGGATGATCAAAGCCCAAGTTCAACGCCGTTACTTTGTCTTCTGCGTGTGCTATTGCCAAGCCATAAGCCGCAGTTAGTCACATGTTTATCTTTCAGCTTTAATCATCGTTGCCATAGGAACTGTGTAATAAAATGCGTCATATTAGAGTATAATTTTGCGCTGTACGGAAAGTGTAAAGCACACATTTACAGAAATTTCATGAATTAAAATCTCACAAGTCAACTGTGACCGCTGATTAGCGGTTGACCTCAGACTTTGGATGTGTATTTCCTGAAATATGTTTTGTGGGGATCCAGTTGGGGAAAAAAAGAAAATAACGATTTCACTGCATTGCATTTGCAGAATGTCCGTAGGAAGAAATAAGAAAACAATGTCTCCCAGCAATTGCCATCATGTTTTGTGTGTTTCTGTGCGACTCAGCATTCACCCCAACTTACGGTCAGTCATCTACTGCCAAGCTGTGGCCGCCGGAGGGAAAAAAGAGTGGGAGTTTGCTTGGAATAAGTTCCAGACCTCTAGTAAAACCTCAGAGAAAGACCAGCTTCGAAAAGCACTGTCATGCACCAAGAAGATCTGGCTTCTAAGCAGGTGACCTGAACAATGACTTTCAAACCTGATGATGTTTCATACTTCGTATTAAATCTGATAAAAGGTTGAATAACAAGATCTGATTTTATGACGGCCACAGATAAGCCTAGAAGTCCAGAAGACTTGCTAAAGAATGTCTTGGTTATCTTGCAGATACTTGGATTACACTTTGGACCCTGAGAAGATACGTCTGATGGATGTTACTTCGACTATTAACTACATTGCCACAAATGTGGCGGGGCATGGATTGGCTTGGAATTTTATTCGTGCACACTGGGACTACGTTAGTCAGGGGTTAGTTCTTCTTCTTCACTTTTCAACACTGTACATCTGTGCTGCCATGACGTATGTCAGAATGTGTATCTATCTATCTATATATCTATAGAGAGAGAGAGAGAGAGAGAGAGAGAGAGATCCATCCATCCATCCATTTTCTGATCCGCTTATCCTAATGAGGGTCGCGGGGCATGCTGGAGCCTATCCCAGCTGTCTTCAGGCAGTAGGCGGGGGACACCCTGAACCTGTCGCCAGCCAATTGCAGGGCACACATAGACGAACAACCATCCACGCTCACAATCACACCTAGGGACAATTTAGAGTGTTCCATGAACCTGCCATGCATGTTTTTGGAATGTGGGAGGAAACCAGAATACCTGGAGAAAACCCACACAGGCACGGGTACAACATGCAAACTCCACACAGGAAGGCCGGAGCCAGAATTGAATCCTGCACCTCTGCACTGTGAGGCTGACGTGCTAAACATCACATTTGTTGAGCTACAAGCCACCGTCTAAAAAAAAACAATTAATAATCTTCCTCATGGCAGTGTTGTGATTTTTAGTTTGGAATGCATTGCGACCCATTTCCTAAACCGGTATCAAAACGAAAGTAGAATGCAGAAAATCTGGAGGCACATTTGTTCATTCAAGGGAAGAAACTGTTCTGTTTACACGGCAATAGCGTTTTAGAAACAAGAAAAACAGGCCTAAAGGAGGCTCAAGTAAAACAAAAAAAAATCATAATAATAGGTCATGGCTTGTGTTTATTGATTCATACATGGAATCTGTTCATCTCTTTGTATGAAACCACAGATGTGAAAAAGTTTCATCTTGCCTGCTTGCCAATTGCCCGTTTACTGTACATCGGCCACTGAAGAGAGCAGTTGTTTGAATCAACGGCTGCCATAAAGCTTGTGATCCACAGTGGCTTGTTTAATTTAGCTGCCATCAAGTACAAAGGTCATTAATTGGAATCAGTGCTTATCTTTATTTCTTTCTCACAAAAGCCACAAGGAAGTGGCGCTTATTCATTTCAATTCAAACGTGTCATGTGATCCTTACAACATTATCAGGAAGTTTATTCAAGCTTTTTTTAATCTTCAGATCAAATTGTTTCAACATTACAATTGTGTTGTTCAAATGTAATTCAATATATCTTGTTTTTTGCCTGTCACCAGCGATGGAGCCAAACTGATCGAGGGTGTGACCAGGAGGTTCTCGACTCAATTCGAACTGGAGGAGGTAATTTATCCTTAGCAGTGATGTCATTCCAAACATATCATCACACACAGATCATAAAATGAGTCACTAAACTCAAGTTGATTTTTTTTTTTAAATATAATTTTAAAAAATGCACCTCTGAACCTCTGCAGTTGAAGGATTTTGCCACAAAGTCTGACCTTGGTGCTGCTTCGGGAGCTGTGGACCAGGCTATTGAGCAGGTTAAAGTCAACATCCAGTGGGTCAGCGAGAACAAGGACACCGTGCTCGAGTGGTTTCTTAGCAGAACTGATGATGACATTTAGCATTTGATCGTGACGTCCATTAGATGGTGAAGGCAGCTTTGAAAGGCCTTCCTCTGCTACCTAATCCAGAATCAAAACTTACTCCGAAGACAAGTCCAACAAAATCGACCTAAAAAAACGGAGTGATGCACTTTTCTAAAACCCAATTCATGAGATAAGGAACAGAATGTAAGCAAAATGCAGGTTACAGTACAAAATTAAACATACTTTTTTTTCTGCTAAAAACAGTCGGCAATACTTGTTATTTATTTATAAAACATTGTTCCAATGCAAGTGGAAGAGATGAATTCTGCCAATGTCCATGTCCAACTTCTACATATATCGGAGGTAAAGAACAGAATCTTGTAAAATACAGGTAATAACATATTTTGGATAATCGAGGTGTTTGTTGTAATCATATGACCAAATAATTTGTATACTAGGCTGAAATTGAGCCTTCTGTACATTGGTGTAGCATCAGAACTCATTGGAATCTTATGGTCAGTGGGATCAACTACTGTATACAGTTTTGACAAGAACCGATTCATTTTGTGTTTGTTTTTTTATTATTAACACTAACAAATTCAGTATACTTATTTATTTGTCATTCCAAATAGCACCTGTGGACCAAAAACATTTCTGAATTCACAACAGTGAGTTCAGAAATACAAAGAAACGATGGCAGTTGATGGTATTTGTTTATTGTTTACATTATTATATTATTTTATTAGGGGAAAAAAAAAGCTAAAGATGGTATTTTGTGTCTTAAAGTGCAAGAATGGGAATCGTTTATATATAAAGTGTGTTTGCAATTTGTATGTTTGTAGTCATATATGACGAGAAAAGTAGGGACTACTCACCGACAAGTGATGTATACTAACGAATTGTACAAAAATAAAATGAAAAGATGAGTACAGAATGTCCATTTATTTTACACCCTTCCTTTTACAGCAATAAATACACTAAACTGACAAAGGTGCATTCATGTTTTTATCTGAAAAGGAGTTCATGTATAGCAAACTCAATCTGCACTCCACCCCAATTTTCAATGTATGTATTGAACGCAGCTTCATGCATTTTATAGATTTAATAGTGTCAGATAATGTCATTCGAGATTCTAAAATTGAGTAGCGTTACATTTGTAGGGAATTTCGGGACTTTAATGTTTCACAGCTGACTGAGATACATCTGGCATGGAAATAATTACCGTAGCTCTCAATGTTCCACCATGGCTTCTAATCACCATTGCATTATTGCTGTTATTAATTTCTGTTATGCAGTCAGGCACAACGCCAAGATCTTTTCTCTCCCGGGGCTACATGTATGCTTGACCGATATGTGGGGAGGTGCTGAGGAAAAGAAACCATTTTCATGACTTATTTGAGATGTGTATTCAGTATGAGGTATGAATTTTCCCAAAGGTACCATCCAAAGGCGGTAATTGATTATGTCTTTGTATCTCCCTCCGTGCACACTGTTCATTGTGTCAGAAATGCTCAAATTGTGAGCCTGCACCTTGCTGTTTTCCACTGTTCTTATCAGGGAATACTTGTTGAACACCATTCTGAACCCTTCGCATTTACAAGCTGCAGCTGTGCTCATTCAGGAGTTGGACCGTGCTCATTTTTCCAACTGCCCTCCTCTTCTTTGCCCCCCTTTGGGGGACTGCAGGAAGATTTTTGGGGGTGAGTGGGAGGGGGGGGGCCCATTGCTGTTGCAATGAGTTTCAAATCATGTTCAACCTATATTTAATTGAATGCACTACAACAGGGTCACCAACGCGGTGACCGCGGCCACCAGTTAGGTCCCTAGGCCCTCATAAATAGCCCACAGCCCTGTTCTACAAAAACATAAAATAAAAATCCCCCTAGTGATAGAACATTGTGATTTTATAGTAATACTGATGAAAAAAATCATGTGGAAAATGTAAACATTTGCAGAGATTGAGAAATAGTGTATGTGGACATCTGTTTCCTACCTTGTCAAATCATTTTACATGATTGGTGTTTTCATGTAGGTCAATTGTTAATAACATAAAGGTTATTTGAGTACATTTAAGAAATTTTCGGGGGCAGCATGGCTCTGTGGTAGAGTGGTCGTTTCCCAACCGAGAGGTTGGTAGTTTGAGTCCTGGCCTTGTCAATGTGTCCTTGAGCAAGATGATGAACCCCAAGTTGCTCCTGATGCTGCGTCATCAGTCAGTAAAATGAGGTAACGGCGTAAAGCGCTTTGAGTACCCAAGGTTAAAACGCACTGCATAAGTGACAGCCCATTTATCGAACTGGTACCCCTTAGCATTAATCAGTACCCAAGAAGTAGCTCTTACTTTCAAAAAGACAAGATATTTAATATTCAAATGGAAACTTTATTGTTCTACCAAATCATGTACAATTTTATGGCTGCAACACATTCCGAAAAAGTTTGGACAGGTGGCAAAAAAGATGGAGAAAGTTGAGAAAAGCTCATCAAATTCTTGTTGGGAGTTGCCACAGATGAACAGGCTAACTGGGAAAAGGTGGACACCATGATTGGTTCTAAAGGAGCTTCCCTGAATTGTTAAGTCATTCACAGGCTAGGATGGGGCGAGGTTCACTCTGTGTGAACAAATGCATGAGAAAAGAGTCAAACTGTTTAAGGACAATCTACAGTCCATAATATCATCAAAAGGTTCAGTGAATCTGGAGGAATCACTGCATCTAAGGGGCAAGGCCGAAAACTAACATGAATGCCCGTGACCTTCCATCCTTCAGGTGACACTGCATCACAAACTGACGTCAATGTACAAAGAATATCACCACATGGGCTCAGGGACACTTCGGAAAACTAATGTGAGTAAACACAGTTCACAGAAACGCTGTCAGCTTCTCTGGGTCCGAGCTCATCAAGGATGGACTGATCCAAGGTGTTCTGTGGTCTGACGACTGCACATCTCAAATTGTTTTGAGAAATTATGGATGTCATGTCCTCCAGGCCAAAGAGGAAGCGAACCATCCAGACTGGTATCAACATAAAGTTCAAAAGGCAGCATCTGTGCTGGTATGGGGCTATGTGAGTGCCAATGGCATGGGGAACTTACATATCTGTGAAGGAGCCGTTCATGCTTGTTAATGTTTCTCCAAAACATTGTGCCATCAAATCAATTCGTTTTTCATGGATGGCCCTGCTTATTTCAGCAAAACAATACCAAACCACATTCTACACGTTACAACAGTGTGGCTTTGTCGTAAAAGAGTGAGGGTACAAGACTGGCCTGCCTGCAGTCCAGACCTGTCTCCCATTGAAAGAGTGTGGCGCATTATGAAGCATAAAATACGACGTCGGCCCCGGACTGTTGAAAAGTTGAAGCTGTACATCAAGCAAGAAAGGGAAAGAATTCTTTGGTCATATTTTTTACATTGTTGCATTATAACTCTCCACATCTTCTTTTGCAAGGAATTCAATCTGGTGTAGTATGTTGGGTTTGAGCTTTCTCTCTGATGCAAAAGGACAAGTGCAAATATACATAAAAGAAGCAGAGCAAGTCCAATAACAGAGCTTGTGTAGGTGACCAAATCAAAACTGGAGCATATCTTCGTCAGTTTTACTCATGGGAATGATTCAAACCAAGGCCACATGTGCAATAAGTTTGGTGTCTTATATACCAAAGCAATTTGATCCAAGACATCAGGCTGAAGTTGAAGCTGGAGATGGGCCAAAAGCTCCAGGATGATGACGTTTTCTCTTTAGTCATCCTACGAAAGAGACAAAATAGTGTGCTTTTTAACCCTTTCAGGTACAGCGGTTACTACAGTGGACAGCTTATCATGTTATCAGGTTACAGGGTGCATGAAAGGGTATATACAACAAATCTTTACTTGTCCATATCCATACATTATGCTGCAGTTGACACAGCGCCGTTTAGTCCTTTTTGTTCATCCTTGTTTACATTTTGTGAAAGTTAGCTCCTCCCTCCAAAAGCTTTATTTCTCATGCTCCCTTATGATCTATAACAGTTTTGGATACAATGTGAAAGTTACTGGGGGAATGGCGGGTTTCCGAACCACATGCATATTAGGCTTTGAGAAATAAAACTATCCATACAAATAAGAGCGAGTGACTGCATTTGCCTGGCCCTCATTTGAGAATGAGTACTTAAAATCTGACGATTTCGCTGGAAAAACGCACCCTTACATACACTGTTCTCGCAGTCAATTATGTACGGATGTATGAACTCGCTTTCATTTGACTGTAGCTGTTGCTCTCACCCATTCATCGTCCTGCGGTCCTTCTCCTTCATCTCCAGGCTTGTGAGTGTCAGCTCCTCCAGTTTTGTTGGCCATAATCTTGTCTGTCCACGATGCTCCAGTATTCTCGTCTCCAGCAAAATTACACTTGGACACGGTGCCACCATCTACTTTAGCCAAGGAGACTGTAAACAGCAAGAAAAGGTGTTCAAAATTCCATCCATCTCTTCATCTGAGTGTCCAAAACACTTTTTTTTGTTACTTTGTGCTTCGGAAGGCCTTACGAAATAGGTGAAAAAATGGTCACATCATGACCACACAGACTCACATATAAAAGGGCTGTTTCCTCTAGTCTTCAGTCGAATGTCTGTTTCAGTCTCGAGCTCCGTTTTCTCCATTTCGCATTCAGGGTACCAGAAGGCCCATGTGCCGTCAGGTCTGTGCTTGTCAGTTACCTTCACCAGCTCGGCTTTACGTATCAGTGCTGACAGCTGCTCCTCTGACAGGATGTCTGACTCCCCTTTAGCTTCCACCTCTTTATGGGAATTGATAGAAATACAGGCACACGCATGTACACATTAGAAGACGTTATTTATTTATTTATTTATTTTAATAAACTAGTTGGAGTCTCAGGTGTTAGCTCAATTTACTTCCTTGTTCACTAAGCACCCTAACCAGTGTATCTGCAGATTTAAGGAATCCTTGAAGACCTTTTTTAATGTGCACTCAGATCATATTTAATACTTCACGTTGACTGAATAAGTTGTCATATTTCGCTTATCTGTGGTCAGGTTGCAGGGGCAGCAGCTAAAGCAACCCGGACTTCATTTTTGCCCTTCACTTCATACAGCTGTGAAGAGGGGATGCACATACGTTAACAGGCCAACAGGTGTGTCCAAGGTCTTCCCCAGGACCTCCTACCCATAAGGCATGCCAGGAAAACCTCATGTTTGTTTTTTTAAATAGTTGTACATATAAATACTGTATTGCAATGTTTTATTGTGTCTGTGACATGAAGGATGTTTGTTTTTTTAAATAGTTGTACATATAAATACCGTATTGTTTGTTTGTTTGTTTGTTTGTTTTATTGAACATATATAAAACATACAATAACATGACAAAATGCAAACAAAAATTGCAATGTTTTTATTGTGTCTGTGACATGAAGACCTTTAAATGGTGGATTTAATTTTCCAATCTAATTTTTTAATCGGCTTGAGGTGAACACAGAAAATATCAGCAGCAAAATGTTTCTTTGTTTTTATCACAACATAAATACAGTACTTCCCTTTAACACTACCATCACTACTATTACTACTGCTAAAGATAATAATAAAAGTGATCATTGAAACAAGGCTGACTGAAACATATCTCAGGTGTTTTGGGGGGGAAATCCTTTACTGTGGATAAATGTTGCTGCAACGCAATTCTGTCTCGTGTAAGCGGACCCTCTTGCCTGGAAAGACCTGCCAAAAGTTATCCAAGTTGTCAGCTTGATTAAATATTCCATTATGATGCAGGGCTCAAACAAAAGGCTCGGGGGCCAAATATGTCCTGTCACATCATTATATGTTGCCCGCAAAGCAAATCATGTGTCAACATCCATAACCCTTGCTAAAATCTGTACCAAAATGTTGAATAGTCATGTGTAATAAATAATAACCTTGAGATATGTCAATATTTGTTTATCCTTTTTACACGAATTGGAAAAACAATTCATCAAATTATTTTCCTTCACTTCTGATTTCAAAATTAGTAAGCCATCAATTTGTTGTGTATATCTAACAATACGGTCAGACCATTCAGCACTTATTTGGTTTCACTGTAATAACAGCCCAATGAGGGAAGCCGCAACTACAAAGTGGGCCCATGACAAAAATGAGTTTGACGCCGCTACTTTATGAGGAAATGCAAAATGATGATAAAAGTAATAAAACAAATTAAGAGTGTAACTACTGATCAAGTATCAGTTAGTCTTCACTTACTGTAGGAGGACATGAGGAAGCCCGTGTTGACCTTTCTGGTGTCACTGAAGTTTGGTTCTATCTCCTTCCCACTAGGGTCAAACTTCCTGCGATGGATGCGTCGAGGTTTTATATAGAGCACATGGTAACGAACCTGCCAAATGAAAAAATATATATTTATTTTTCTGTAATACTGTATAATTTTGACTGATTCAATGTGAAATATTTTTGCAATAAATTTGTTTGGAAGAGAAAGCAGGCAGGGGTCTGTAAACTTCAGTTTGCAAAGAACATTTGAGATGAATTTCTCAATGTCAACACTTAATTTCAAATGGAGGGGTAATTTCCCATATGACTTCTTTTAACTATTAGCCTTGCATACACATGCATTTTGCAGCTTACTGATGAAGAGAAACTTCCACTTTCTGTATTGTGATTTTAAGTCTCCATACAGTACCTTCTGATTGTTGACGTCAGTCAGTGCATGTCTTGAAACATCAACAAGCGTTCCTTCAAGAATTACTCCAGGACCACTGTAACAAGAACAACAACAAAGCATTAGTTATACATAAAAAACAATAGAAAAGGTATGTTGAATAAATTGTGACACAATGCAACAATAAAAACATAAGAGCAACTGTTAATATAAAAATACAGTTCCCTTAAAGTCACATATGGGTGCTAAAATATGCTGGTATTGCAAAATGCTTTAAAATAATGACGTCTCTTCCTTTCAATCAAAATCTACTGTAACAGCGCCGTATAGAAGTTATACATATATGCACGTATAACATATACAGTATGAGCACACACACGACGGTGCTGTACAAGCATGACCCCTAGAGGCCGTGAAACACAACGCTCTTCCGGGCTTTCCCTTCCTTGTATGCAAATAAATGATGTGCGTTTTTTCACCCCAACGAACAGAACAGTTGTTTCCATCTGACTGCGCTGTTATAACGTAAAGAACACTAAATCAGAAGAAGGAAAACACACGATTATATAAAGTGTCGAAATAGTTGTTGACAATCGTTGGCTCGTACTAACATAATGAGGAGTGCACTGTAGCTGGATTTAATGAATTCATTGTATACAAGTTTTCACCTACCTTTCATGAGATCCGGGTGACCACACACGGTCATATTTCTCATTGTGTACTGGTTTGTTTTTTAAAGATATGTTATGGTAGATTCGGCTCATTTTCACAAACTATTCTCAGGATTCCAAGGAATGAAGTCCTTGTTTTTCCTGAAACTGACATTTCCGTTTCCGCCCACATGGACGATATGCTTGTGATGCATTCCATGAACGTGGGAAGTCCGACAACCGATTTCCGACTAGGAAAGGTCACTTAGAACGCCCTTTGAACTGGGAGGTCCCAGTTGCGAAGTCCGACGAAGTAAGGAAGAGGCAAAAAAAAAAAAAAGTTCTCCGACCGACTTCAATGTGACGTCACGACAATGGCGACGGCATGGAGACGCAGACAGTGAATGGCAAAACACATTTACAAGATTATGACCAGTGGCAGATACTGGTCTGTCAATGAGGGGAAGCTCAATTTCGGCCTACATCATAAAATGTGTCCGTTTATTTATACGTGGATTCTACTCTCCGTTCCTTTTCAAGAAAATTATCTGTGACCCTGTCATACCAACAAGGCTTCTTTTCCAGGGACTTAACTAGTGCCCTTCAACTACAGCAACTACAATAAAACCCACCAGAAATGAAAGATTAATATGTCGCTAGTCGTTTTCAACAAAGAGAGTGTCGCTCAGATGATTAGAAGTCTCCAGTTCAACTCAGAACAGAATGCGAATTGAAAAATGCTCCCACGATGCCTACACCAAAAGATCGGTGATTGGCTCATTTCGCTGTCAATCAAAAAGAGATTCAGCCTCAGACAGATCATCCAATCATCATGCAGAAAAGCTCAGCGTCCGGGCCAGCCCATAAACGCCCACTGTCCATAGACTCCCGGGGACACTGAGCATCCGATCCGGCGGGACCAAACCAGCATTTATCCAATGACTCGTCTCGTTTCAATGCATTGGGACAACGGACTCTGAACTCTCTCGACGCCCAGAGCTGTAGACGCTCAGCGTCCACACAGTTTAAAGTGCAGTGAAGCTGCTGGAATGAATGAGAAGAGAGTTGCGTCGTAACCAGCAATAAGAAGCTGATTCGGAAAAAAATTTGGCGCGTTGTAGCGCATATTTAGTCAATGACATGTACACACAATTGTATGTACACACATGTATTTGATCACTTATTTTTGGACATTTTAGTGGAAGCTGAGCTTCCCTTGCAGTCTTAGAGCAATCGCCTCTGATTATGACATATATTTATCCATCAATTTTCCACACCGCTTATCCTGAACAGGATGGCGTGACGGGGGGGTAAGAGTGGGTGCTGGAACCAACCCATCTGACTTCAGGCAGAAGGAAGACTGCACCATGAAGTCCTCGCCTAAATCCTAAATTTGTCTTAAATTTGACCCAAGCTTGCTGTTTAGTGCTGGGGGGAGGAGGGGTTCACATTTAATCCTCCATGAGGTGTGGCCTGACAGACAGAAATAACCTTCTGGAAAATGCCCCGCCTCTCGCCCAGAGTCAGTTGGGATCGGCTCCAGCACACCCGTGACAGAAAATGTATAGATACGAGAGACAACTAACATAAGAGTTATCAAAACAAAGGATGCTGAGTTTTATCAACTGGTACAAGATGAGCTGTATGGACGCAGTCTTGGATCAAATGAGGTTTCCTACTCATACAACTTCATCTCCACTGAGCGAATAGCGGGACAGTTGGATGTTGAGCCAGATGTTTCGCCGTTGAGTCCATTCCCCTGGAGCCTCGACTTCATACAGACGGTCTCTGTAGTCTTCATTCAGCTGCAGAAACTGCCTACACACTAAAAACAGAGGCATTTTATTACATAATGCATAAAATAAATGTCTTCTTTCCAAATAAATGCAACACCCATGTTTTGCAATTGATGCAATAACAACTTATTACAGCAGTTTATTATCACATCCTGTCATGAGTTCAATAATTTTATCAGAAAATGTGGAGGACTTAAAAAATGTGGCATTATGACATCAGGAGATGAAATATTCTTGTACATTACAAATTGGTTCACAGCGTGAAGGCTGTGGCTGTGTTTATGAGCCATAATTTGTACTTGTTATCATGAAACTTAAACGCTTGTTTTGGTCATGTGTCGTGTTAACACAGGTTGTGGCCCCACCTCTTTATTTTAAATACATATTTTTACATTTTCTACTCTGGGTGTGGCGTTTTAATAGAATTTGAGGGAAAATGTATAGAATCATTCATTTCTATTACATTCTTATGTCACTGTAAGTCTCAAACATGCGACTTGGTTAATACAGATTAATGGGGGGGGTGCATCTGTTGGTTGATTAAATCAGAGGATGATGTAGTCTGACAAGACAATCTTCCTGGGATAAGAGAAAACTTAAAGTCAGATGGAGCATGGACATGTTGAGGGAAGCTATAGTAGCGCAATATACACAGATGTCAAAGAGAGGCTCAAAGGAGGATTCTTTGAACAATCACTTTAAACTGCTTTTGTTGTAGAGTTGGTCTTTTCTGTGCAAGAATATTAAATCATCGAAGCGTATCCAGGTTTCTTAGATATCATCCAAGTAATTTGAAGTCGAACATGAATCATGGTTGTATTGGTCCAATTTGTTTAGTACATTTCCATTTGAAGACAACGAAATTAAAATTAAAATGTCACTGAAATTCCCACTTGAGTCAACCTTCAAAAGAAATTAATGTTAAAAAAACAATCTGAAATCCTTTTGGGTTTATATACTGCTGACATTTAAAAGCTTTATATTTAAATATTGCTTTTATATGTGGAACATTGGAAACTGCTCCAACCTGCAATCATGCTGGGTGAAAGTGGCACACTGATTCCCAGCACCTGCTCGCTGGGGAAGGACGAGCAGAAATCACTCAGCATCTTAAGTCCCAGTCCTCTTTTCCTCCAGCTTGGCCTTACCAGCACAGTGTCCAGAACAGGCAGCTGGTAGCAGCGGCTGCTCCAGCTGTCACACAGACTGCCTGAAACACCACACAGATGGGAGTCAAGTGTGTACAGCATGAGCAATACTGTAGTGTACACTGATAAAATGACTTGCATGTTATATTTTTTTTTAATATACATGGAGTACAGTACTGTATATGTTGCTCTTTGTGACTCGCTGTTGTTTTGCAGCTTCTCGCGGACCGTTTGCGGGATTTAAAAAAAAAAAGTTTTTTTTTTTTTACCTGTTTGTTAATTGAATTGGACGCTACTTCTCGGATTTTCGTTTATCGCGGGTGGTTTTGGTCCCCATTAACCACGATGAACGAGGGATTACTGTACCATATTTTTCGGCTAATAAATTGTTCCGGAGTATACATCGCATTTGAGGGGGGTAGAGGGAGGGGCTTTATTATTTAAAAAACAAAACAAAACAGACCAAGAACCGTACAGCTTAGACTGGCCAAATGTGTACTGCTTCACTCCGAATGTTCTTCAAATGTTGCGTTCCGTTAATCAGAGTGCCCTAACATAGGAGTGCCGGAGCCAAGTGCATCAGGCACTACAGGTGGACACAGTTCAAGCGCGAGCTGCTGATTGCTTATAACACAGGTTGCATTTGGAAATTAATGGGAGGGGAGCGCACTCCGCCTCTCCGAACACACAGAGTGGTGTTTGGAAGTCAGAGTGAATTTCCTGACGGCAGCAAACGAGCTCCGAATTGTGGCCAAAAGTAGAATCCTGGTCACCTTTTGGTGCTGTAAATCCTTGTTGTGTGGTAAAGAAGCCGCATGCTAAACTAGCGATATGTCCCACATGTATTGCCATGACTACTGTTGCAACACCAACACTAACTACTACTACGACTACTACTATCCTTTGGAGGTTGGCAAATACTTTTAGTGCATTACCACCACCTTCTGGCCACCAGCGGGACGTCTGCTACAAATTGTAAAGCAAACAAGCAAGTGTAGCATCTGTTGGTGAGTAACATACACATTAAGAATGGTTCAATTCTTCAGTTCCAACTAGAGCCACTTTACTTTTCAAACGCTGACTCCCTGCCACATGGGCTCCTCATCCTCAGCTCCTCCATCCATTAGTCCATCCGCACCATCGCAGACAGTCCATCAGGACTAACATTTGAGCTGAACAACATGGTGCCGTTGCAAAAAGGCTCCCCATTAAAGCTCAAAAAAACAAGTGCCCTGTGGATGTAAACCAGCAATGGTCAAACAGCGCCAACTTTTCCCTCAATAGCAAGACACCTTTGTGTTTGACTGTGTAGAAGCCAACTGCTTGGCCATCTCGCCACAGCAATTTGGCGCTCTCTGTGCGGGGGTGCAGGGAGAAGAGTGCTTCCTCATGTGAAGGCCTCTCCACCACCTGACTCAACAGGAACATAACGAGCCTCTCCATTAGGGACTGGACCTGAGGAAAGCATGTTGCCGAATGGTTAAAAGGTACTTTGTGTGTTGGCGTGAAAGTATTTTTGACATCGGAATCAGACATTAATTTAGAAGCTAATATTGTTATCGAAATCCAGGTCACTAAATTCTGAAACAATCTCAGAGTGTGTTAACTTGACTCTGCTGTCACCATCACCCGATTCAGCAAGACTGCCGGCCTATGTTTTGAGACATTAATACATTAATTACCTTAATACATTTCCTCACTCTTATTTTTTTTTTCTCTTCCCTTCCCAAATTGATAAAAATGTTAACTGAAACAGAAAGAGTTGTTACGATCGTTTAGGTTCTGTTGTATTATTGTTATTTTATGTTAAACGCTTTTTGTTATAGCCGCAGGTGTTGTGAAAACACTATAAAAATAAAGATGTATTGTATTGAAACAAAAGCTGCTACTTTTTCCAAACTGTTCATAACAAGGATCAAAATGTTGGAAGGACATATAACATTAAAAAAATATATATATGTAACTGGGATTACCGGAAGCAAGTCAGTTCTTGATTTGCAGGACGTCCGTACAACATCATTCACAGACCACCAACTTCCATACAAGTATAAGGCTACCACTAGAAGGCAAGGGGAGAGCAGGGAGTGTCAGAAGGAGTGTGTGTATATGCATGTTTTTGTTCATGTTTGTATGCCTGTGCAAAAATGAGTCATCACACCTTGAGCTGGATCATCAGGTGGGTGAAGTGCCAATAACGAAGATCTAGCTTGGTCATCCTCAAATAGCTGCAACCATTTGATGTTATTTGCTCTTATTTCCAACTGATTGGACAGACACAATATACATTCCTTGAAACCACGGGAACACCACAATATAATGAGAACATAATTGTGCTCGAGGACCTCCAGACCTTAGAAGTTTTGGATGATTGAAACCAGGCATTATCTTCAGGCCTGGACTTTAGTGACAAAAGATACTGTTCAGATGCTGATCTCAGGTCAGTTTCGACAACAGGTGGCATGTCTACGGGGAACATCTTCCTGCACAAAATTTTCAAGTTCATGTCCACATTGAAAACAACAAACCGTGAATGCAACACGTGAGTTTCAAAGAATCGACATCCACCCAATCGACCTTCTTCAACGTTCATTTAGGCCGCCATAATAAACAATATAAACCTCGCAGAAAATCATTTGAATATGAAATGTTAACTTTACAGTCAAATGTATTTGCGCATTCGGTGAGGACAATCATACGCCACTTTGTGAAGTTTGTATCGCTAACGTTGCAATGCTGAAAGGGAAAAAAAAATCTTTGAAACATCCAATCGACAAGAATACTGTAACCTACTTTCCGAAAGATTCAGTTGTGACAAGAACGAAAGATTATCAGTGTATTTTTTTAACAGAAAGACGATAGATCCACCTGTTCCTATACTGCTCTTCCTTGACACACCGCACACCTGACAGCATTGACCTGACTTGCAGCGCCACCTTTCGCGAGGAAGTGGTCACCACGTCACCTTGTACAAAAGCATCAAGTTACAGACACGAGCAGGAAAATTACCGGAAATAAAATACTTTCTAAATAAAAGTTTCAAAGTGATTGCGTGTAATTGTGCTTTTCTCATTTGTTATTTTTTAACGATCACGTTGTCACTTTTTCTGAATAGAGAAAACGGAAGTGGTTAGCGCATTCTGTGCGCGTTTCTCTGTCCTTTGCGCACAGGTTATTTTATTTCCCTAATTTTATTTCTTTGTGTGGAATAAAGACCCACAGCACTTCGACGTATTTTCTTCTCTGTATTCCAACATCACAACTCAGTACGAATACCTAAGTTCTATTATGGATTCTAAAAACAAGAAAGCTGTTAAAACTCTGGCTATATGCTCCTTATTTGAAATTTTTGTCCCCTGGCTTCTTTTTTGTTTAGATGTTTGTAATATGTGTATGTATTAACAACATGTTCATTTTGTTTTCTGTTTATTGAGAATTGTATTATGACTTGTTCGAATAAAGATTCTATTTAAAAAAAAAAACTCAGTACGAATCAATTCGGGTCTCTGTACTTTTTGATGTTGTAGAGCGCGTTGGTCCAAAGAAAGCATGAAAATATAACGAGGCAGTATGCAAAAGAAAAGGCGGGCAGTCACGCCCCATGTTAAACAGTTCCAAAAAGACATAAAACACATAAAATCCAGTGTGATCCCGTGTAGCCATAAAAGTTGGTGTGTGTGAGGAGACAGACAACTCCATCCACCGCCCCTCCAGCCTGTCCTCTCTGGTTGGCGCCAGCAAACAAAAACATTCGAGATAACAGCTACATGATGTTGATTAAACATGTTCGCTGGAAAACCCCACACAGGTGGGCGTGATTAGAAAGCAATAAAGAAAGTAGTAAATCACTGTCAGCAGTTATTTGTACGTATCCCTCTCTTTATCACACTGAAAATTGTCATCACAAAATCGTTGACAGAGGATCCTCTCTTGCCAAAAGCAGAATAACTGCTCTATCTTTCTCCTTATGAATAGGAGAAAACCACAATTTTACACCATATCCAAACCCAACATGGAACAACGGTGCAATACAAAATCAATATCTTTTGCAGAACTGGGTGGCTCAAGGTGTGTGGTCATTCCGCCATCTAGTGGATGATCAGGGAAACTGGCTCTCATTTAAAAATGTGCCCTTCACAATATCACGTGTCAAAGATCAGAATTTCATTTTTTTAAGGAGTTCCTCAATTTTTCAAGCACCAGATTCAGAACACGGAACTGAAAACTTTGGCAGCTCCTTGCTGTCACCACAGCAAATATTTCATCAAAAAATACACGTTAACCTTTTAAATGAAATGTATCCATCAGTGAACTGCTAAGGAAAATGTTCAATACTGAACAAAACATCTGTATTTTATTTTTTTTTTTGTGAGAACGACATTGAAACTGCATATCTATTTTACCATTGCATCGCCACAGACATTCTGGGAAGACCTTTGGAAATGGTTGTTTTGAAAAATCCATTTGGAATAGGACAAGTAAAAAGTGTGATGAATAATGTATTACTGCTGGCAAAATATTTCATCCACACACCGCAAAAAGGGACACCATTGGGAACATGAGGGAGCACCAAAACCTCTGGGTCTGGCAGTGTTAAAGGCAGGTGTGGATGAAATATTTACCAGCTTCCCTGGTGTGTGTGTGTGTGTGTGTGTGTGTGTGTGTGTGTGTGTGTGTGTATATACCCACACACACACACACACACACACACACACACACACACACACACACACACTAGGGAAGCTGGTGCCACACGTTGCGTCACGCAATTTAATATATTTAATATATATATCTAAATATATCACTCCGTTACACACACACACACACACATATATATATATATATGTGTGTGTGTGTGTAAGAGAGAGATATATATATATATATGTGTGTGTGTGTCTGTGTCTGTGTGTGTGTGTGTAAGAGAGAGATATATATATATATATGTGTGTGTGTGTCTGTGTCTGTGTGTGTGTGTGTAAGAGAGAGATATATATATATATATGTGTGTGTGTGTCTGTGTCTGTGTGTGTGTGTGTAAGAGAGAGATATATATATATATATATATATATATATATATCCATGTTCTAATCCCCATATCCTCACGAGAGTCGCAGTCATGCTGGAGCCTATCCTTGCTGTCATCGGGCAGTAGGTGGGAAACACCTTGACCGGGCCCGTACATAGTGGAGCCATAGCTGCCATGCACTGGAATAATGATATTATTGCAGTTTTAGCAGCAACATTGCCAGAAACAGCAACCTGTGCCGCAATCTTTGATGACGCATCCGACACAGTGGCGCAAGTCGATAACGTCACACGCACGATCCACGTTCTGCAATAATAATAATAACATTAATAATACTTGTAATCTGCACTTTCGAACTCTACGCGCACTTCCACGACGTGTATCCTTCAATGGGGACCGTAAAGTGTAGTGTGGGTAATAGTATTAGGATTGGGTAAATGGATTCTCGGGATTTTGTGAACTCACAAATACCGCGAGAATTCAACTTGCAGGCAAGGTTAATACTTAACAGTAAACGCAAATCCATGTCGCTTCTGCTGACTGCAAGTCAGCGACTTTTCTGTCAGCATCGCAGTATTAAAACAGTCAACATGGCCAGAGTAAGTAAGTTAGTTTTCATTAAAATATACGCCAGTTTTTATTGTTTAACTAAGTCGAGGTCATGTGCGCTCTGTCAGTCTCAATGTGTTATTGGTAACACCAATGACGTTGGAAGTTCCAACGTGTCATGTGTTCCAACTTGGAACACATGACACGAAGTAGTTACGTGTGTGGTATTGTGCGGAAATTATTTTTGAAATCGTTGAATGTATGCTATTCCATTAAAATTTATTTCGACAGAATGGCTATTGGCTAGACTTTTGACGTGCTTGTAACAGAAATTAATATTTGACTCAGACTATAATGAAAAGATATAACCAATGATATAATTGTAGTACAGTATACTGCGGGCAGGGGCACAGTTTGGATTTTTGAACTGGGATGAGGAATGGGGCGCAGGGACCAAGCGAAAAGAACAACTTTCTTAAACTAATGTGCAATACGTTTACATTTAATTTAGGTGCATTTTTCTTTTATTCAAGCACAAATCTTATCTTCAAACTGTGCATTATGTTAGTATGGCTTACAATAATATTCATTCACTTTTTTTTGAATAAAGCCTCTGCCTCGATTTTGTCGAGTGCGTAGAGCTACTACGCTTCAGTATTTTAATTTCGGTCATTATGGTGGTACTTGTAGGTCTTAGTGTTGTTTTATTTGGTACTCAGGTGAAAAAAGTTTGAGAACTACTGGTCTAAGTTACAGTGCATTATTTAACGTATAATTATATTGTATTTTCACAGAATGCATCTTTGGACAGTGCACTTTCCACATTCAGGTCAATATGCGGAGAGGATGGAGTGTCATTGGCAACTGCTGTCAGAGAGCAACATGGCAAAGATGAATCTGTACACAGGTCACTGTTTCACACGTCTACTTTGAGCATTTGCTTGATCAACATTAGGGAAGATTAAAGACATATTATTTCCATTTTTGATGTTAGATGGTGCAAAATTCTAACTACATATTTTGTTTTCCATGTAGACAAATATTTGTTTTAAGGGATAAAAAACACGATGAAGATGAAAACAAGTTTTGAGTGTGAAACCCAACAAAAACTTTTGACATTAAATGTAAATTTGCAATATAAAACAAAAAAAAACAGTTACATCTGATTGCTTTTTGTTGAGAAACATCAGCATGTCAACACAGTCTATAGACAGTGATCAGTCCAGCAAATACTCAGTATTGTCGAGATACTGACATGTTAACTTGCCTAGCCCGTGTGCAAATGTTGATATTTTTTCCTGGATAAACTAACCCTTGTCTTCATAGCGTTCAGGGTTGCAATCCAAGAAGGGAGAATCTCTTCCTGTATGTTCTTCTGTTACCATGCAGTGTTACATTGACCACATTAATGTAGCTCAGCTAAGGTATGCCGTAGTGTAGTTGTTTTTAATACCCCTTATTAAAGATTGCAAGCACTATGAATACAGCAGATGAATTCCACAAAATTCCCCCCAAGCCATTTTGAATCCACAATCTGTTTACAGTCTTCCAAGTCTGTCCAGTGAGTCCTCGGACAGTGCCCATCCCTATGACAGTCGCGTAACCCAAATTTGTACGAAAAGTCAAAATGTACTGTAGTCTATTATTAACCGACTACAACACAGTACTGTAGTAAAGTTGTGATTACTGTAAATCTTTGTCTGTCAAATAAAAAACAGTGAGTAAAGAGGTAAGTAAGCATTTTTTTTTTGTGTGCTGTGTAACACTTTCGTCTTATGCTGCCGTGAAAACATAGTTTCTGATGTACCGTTCCTTACCTTGCAAGGACTGTTATTTTGCAACTTTTGACAAGGGCTCCACTGCAGCTTCACGCCAGAACGTGCTTTAGAACAAATCCAACGAGCTCCTTTGTTAATGTCTGTCTAGATGCCGTCCACCGGATGTGGTTGTTTTTCCACGTTGTGTGGAGGAGGTTAGCGCTCTGGCGAAAGTCTGCCATGACAATCGCCTTCCCATGATACCGTTTGGAACGGGAACTGGCCTGGAGGGTGGGGTAGGAGCAGTGAAGGTGAGAGAAAATACCATCAATAGATCTTATATGTCTTGTGACAGCACTGGAATAATTTCACACTTTTATGTAGTTATCATTACCTTGGGAAACGGTCTGCATTAGGGATGGGTAACTTTCACATTTGAAGCGGTTCCTTTCTGATTCTCTGGACCTGGGAATCGATACCGGTGCTCAACAGTACAAATTTTCGGTACTTTTGTTGTGTGTCGGAATAAATGTTACATGTATTCACAAAAATTGCAGATACATTTCGATGAAACAATTATTTTTCAATGTTTAAAATGTAACTCGCAACACATGATGATCTTAAAACAAATGAACCAGAGGATGTAGTAGCGATCAATGTATATAACATTTAATAAATAATAAAATCTAAACAATACAAACAATAAGTTTAATATTACAAAATACAAAGTATGTCCTAACATACTTTTGCACTGAACATCAAAAAGAATGAATTTAACTAGTAATACAACAAGAGAATATAAATAATTATATTAGTGTATACAGCGGCCCGGTGTCCAGTGGTTAGTGCGTCGACCTCACAATGCAGAGGTGGGTTCGATCCCGGTTCCGGCCTTCCTGTGTGGAGTTTGTATGTTCTACCCGTGCCTGCGTGGGGTTTCCCACATTCCAAAAACATGCATGGCAGACTGATTGAACACTCTAAATTGTCCCTAGGTGTGAGCGTGAGCGCGATTGATTGTTCGTCTCTGTGTGCTCTGCGATTGGCTGGCAACCGGTTCAGGGTGTCCCCCGCCTACTGCCCGAAGACGGCTGGGATAGGCTCCAGCATGCCCTATGACCCTCATTAGGCTAAGCGGATCACAAAATGGATGGATCAATATTAGTGTTTACGTTTTGCAAGAACACGTCTGCCACGTGCATCGTGATCGGTTTGAACCCAGTTTGGAACAAATAATAACAAAAAATGACAGTTGGAAGAGGACGCGAATGAGAACAAAGAGAATAATTGGAATAAAATTATTTTGACTTCAAAATGGCGCCGCGAGAGTGGCTGCCTTTCCAGCAGCTCCTATATTTTGTTGTTCTACTTCTTCCTTTCATAACTTTGCTGCTGTGAATTGTGAATTTCTCCATTGCGAGACTAATAAAGGTTTTCTTAATCTTAAATTAATAATTTGAATGTATCCCACGCAGTACGTAATGCTCACTCCATTTTGGCCCCAAGCAAGGGCCAATACAATGAGTCAATACCGAGAAGGCCACCTGCCATGCATAACCAAAGCATGCTAGAAAGTGCGTGTCTTCACCATTGCTGCAATGTATTTCATAAACTGCATTGGTTTCCCTTGGCGACAGGCAAATATTGATCGCTTCCAAACCCAGAAATGTATGTTGAGCGTGTGCGAAATCCTGTGTGAGTGAGTGATATCATTACGCTGGTGTGCAAGCACTGCTGCGTTCAATTGCGGCATGGAAAATCGACAACTTTGCTAACTACCGCGCTTCGGAACTGAAACATGGTAGGATTTGATTTAATGTGAATCAGTGCCCCCATAGTACCAAGCCAAAGAGGTCTCTACTCAAAAAAGTACTGACTTCTGCACCCATTCCTAGTCTGCACTACAAAGCACACAAATAATATCACTAACTTGCACGCTTGCATACAACTCCTCACCATTGTGTTGAATTTACGTGAGGTACTTTAAAAAGGCCAAGTAATGTAGCCTCCCTTTTCCTTAGGGCGGTGTGTGCTTCAGCCTGAGGAAAATGAACCAGATTTTGGATTTCCACCAGGAGGATTTTGATGTGACAGTTGAGCCTGGTGTGACCCGAAAAGCCCTCAATGCCTACCTGCGAGACACCGGACTGTGGTTTCCTGTTGGTCAGTTAAACCCCAAGCCCATGTTAACTGAAGTCTTGAGTCCAGAATCACAAATGATAGAATGTCAAAAATCTGCAAATGTGACGGCATAAATGACCACATTCCAATCCACCAGTGGATGAAAGCTCATTTACAAGAGCCTTTCCGGAACCTTTTCAGCCCTGCATGCTAATCACCATCCCAACAGAACTCGAGCACATTATTTATACGTCTTTCTGGACATTGTATGTCGGCAAACAACATCGGTTTTTAGCTGTTATGTAAATCTGCCCATTTAGATTTAAAAACAAGAAAAAGAAAAGTGACTTCTGACTTGTTAGCATGCTATGTATTCAGAAAAAAAAATCGCCATATGTCTTGTCCAAGGAAACCAAGACAACGAAAGTACAGTATTTATAAAAAATGATGAGATTTATTTCAGCTACCAAAAAATACAACAAAAAAACATGGCGAAGCAGCATTCACAGATCTGTCATGGAGCCTTCTCTCCCGAGAAGGGTTATCCGAATAAAGATGCGGATCCAGAGAATTTGTTTTCATTCCATTTTAGTTGATATGTCTTCAATTGAATGGTCCACCCCAAAATCACAGTGGCCCTACGTTCCTCCATGAACAAGGAAGAAGCCAATGAACTAACAAAGAGTTGGGCATCCATTTTCTACTGTTATCTATTTCAGGGACATGTGAGATCCAATCGCAGCTATCTTTGGACAAGAGGCTTGTTGTCACCAGTGTGAATGGGTGTCTGCCATTCACACCTGTGGAAATGATTAGATGTGTTTTTTGGAATGTGGTCAAAAGCAATTTGGACAGAACCCACGAAGAGAACATGCAAAGTCCATCTAGGGCCAAGCCGAGATTTGAATCGTGCAACAATGACTATGAGGCCGACGTGCAAGCCACATGCTCCAGCATGGTGAACAGTTGGAGACACAAACACAAACATGGTGCTTCGTGTTCGGGCCTCGTGGTGGGCTGCCATGTCATGAGTGGCACTGCAGTCATGTACTACGTGGGCAAAGTAGTATTTCTTAAAAAAAATAAAAATAAAAAAATTACAAATCCAATGTTAGCCCAAGACGTTTATGATTGTATGACATTTATTGTTTGTGAAGAAAAATGACCGCATTATCACGATATGTACCACGTGGTTGTAATACTGGCTAGAAAACTGGTGTAATCTACAAGTATCTTAAAGATGTATGAAATGCTATGAATGACCTTTTATCGTGTTTTCTGATGTTGGACAACAATGTTTGAAGAACAGCAGGTATGGTTAAATGTAGTGGAACAAAGCGGGGCCAAAGCAACGCAGTCCTTTCATGTTGACGACTGTAAGGACGTCTTTGTTTTCCAACACGTTCTGACTGCAAATGACTTAGCTGCTCCGTTTTGTAAAAATATTCAGAAAACAATACTAAGCTTGAACTTCCCCTTAGATCCTGGAGCTGATGCTTCGCTGTGTGGGATGGCAGCCTCGAGCGCATCTGGTACCAATGCAGTGCGATATGGAACCATGAGGGAAAACGTGATCAATCTGGAGGTGGTCCTTGCTGATGGGACTATTATCCACACGGCCGGCAAGGGCCGACGTCCCAGGTAAAAAAATAATAAAAATAAATAAATAATGGAACTCATTCCAAATTTCAGATATTGTCCAAACAAACTCATGCTCTTAGGAGCAACAATCATGGGATACCGCTGTGCTTATGTAAGTTTTCCCGCTGTCTTCATTATAAATAAACTACAGGAAGACTTCTGCGGGCTATAACTTGACAAACCTGTTTGTTGGATCAGAGGGCACTCTGGGAATTATCACTAAGGCAACTCTGCGCCTCTACGGTATTCCCGAAGCCACGGTGTCTGCGGTCTGTTCATTTCCTTCAGTGCAAGCTGCTGTGAATAGCACTGTGCAGATTCTCCAAGCTGGGGTAGCCATCGCTCGCATTGGTGAGCAGTTGCCTGCGCTAAGAACACATCACAAATGACACAATTCGCATGTACACAAATGCATATGAAATCCGTTGCTAGAAAAATATTGAGGAGATTGGTGTAGAATCCCGTCGATGCTAAGAACTGTTTTTTTTTTTTGTGTGTGTGTTGAAGAGTTTCTTGATGACGTGATGATCAACGCATGCAACATGTTCAGCTCACTGTCATATCCCGTGACTCCAACTCTATTCCTGGAGTTCCATGGTTCCGAACAGAGCCTTGCAGAACAAGTCAACACAACGGGTAAGTCTTTCAATGATATTCATGAATATATTTCAACGCGGCGGCCAACTGCTTAGCGTGTCTGCCTCCTGGTGCAGAGGTGCTGGGTTCGAATCTGGCTCCGGCCTTCCTGTGTGGAGTTGGCAAGTTCCCCCCGTGCCTTTGTGGGTTTTCTCCAAGTATTCTGGTCCCTCCCCCCTCCACTCCCACCACCACATTCCAAAAACAGGCATTGCATGAATGGCACACTCGAAATTGTCCCAAGGTGTGAGTGTGAATGGTTGTATGTCTATTTGTGCCCTGCGATTGACTGGCAACCAGTCCAGGGTGTCCCCCGCCTGCTGCCCAAAGACAGCTGGGATTGGCTTCAGCAGTCCCCGCGACCCTTGTGAGAAGATGCAGATCAGAAAACGGATGGATGGATGGATGGATATTTCAAAGCTCGAAACAATTACTTCATTTTAGGAGCAACTTTTGAGAAGTAGTTTTTTTTTTGCAGGTTAATCTTGCGGACCTGAAGCAAGGGATTTATGAAACAGAAAAAATATGACAGTATAACGAATGAACAATTGGTTTTCATTTTCTATATCATCAACTGTTGTTTTTTTTTTTAATGAACAATGTTTATAGCGGCTCACTGTATTTTGTTGTCAAGAAACTGTCTGTGTTGTTGTCATATTTGTCAGCCTTAATAGGGTTGACTTGTGAATGCATCAAATTCATCCATCCTTTTTTTAATTGATTGTTTTTACCCCGCTTATCCCCAAGAGGGTCACGGCTGAGCTGGAGTCTCTCTTAGCTGACTTAGGGCAAGAGGCGGGGTACACTTTGGACTGTTTGAGAGCCAATCCCAGGGCTCAACCAGACAAACATTCTCTCACACACACACACACACACACACACACACACACACACACACACACACACACACACACACACACACACACGCAAGCACACAGACCAAAGGACACTTTTTAGAGTTCTCAGTAAACCGAACATGCATGTTTTGAGAAGGTGGGCAAATATTCACCTTTGATGGCGTATTCAAGTGTTCTTTTAAAATCTTGACTTAGCATAAGAGCGGATTGCTGGTAAAGGCATGACCTGTCAAAACAGCAGGACTGTAGTTCTCTGCAGATTCGCTTGTAATGTTTTCTCTAATACAAGTCTGCAGATTGCAGCTTTTCAAATTTTGTACAGGTAACAGTCTGATTGTGTTCTCACTGCACAGCTATGAAACTTATGCATCATAAAAATTAGACATGATCTTTATCATGTATCCACAGAGGAAATCACCCAGGCTAATGGCGGCTCAGATTTCCAATGGGCTCGAGATGCAGAAACACGCAAGCGATTGTGGAAAGCTCGCCATGACGCCTGGTATGCTGCTCAGGCTCTAAGACCTGGTTGCAAGGTTAGCGACTGTAGCTCTATTCTCCTTTGTAAATGTGCAAATCCCCACAAAAGTGGAAATGTAGAACAAAACTGGGGGAGATAAATGGCGTACTATATTTGTTTGATAGTCCCACCATATTGTGGCAAGCAGGTTTTGCAATTGGCAGTATGTGTTCTACCATTCATTGTTGCATTTTTTTTGCCCACTAGTGTTCTTGGTGCCACCTAATGATTTTGTCTTTTTTTTTTTTTTTTTTTTACGTTTTATAAGAGATTTTTAACTTTATCTTAAGTGTCAATAAAATTACATATTTTAAAGAACAGTACAACATACATTAAAAAATGAATTTGGCGTCCTGGAATTGTAAGAACTCTGAAGTTCATTGTCAACTTACCATGACAACAGTGCGGTTTATAGCAAGTCATTTTGTTCTTTTTTTTTTCAAATTTCTTTTCCTACAACAACATTTTAATGCGGTTCAAACTTCAACTTTAACCTCCCGGTGTGTTTTATTGTAGGCCTATTCTACAGATGTCTGTGTTCCCATTTCCCAACTGCCTCAAATCATTGTGGAGACCAAAACTGACCTGATTGAGAACAAACTTACCGGTGAGCTCACTGCACACGAGACGGCTCTTTTCTTCACATCAGCAGTGACACACAACATAAAATTTGTTTCAAATAAAATAGTGCAGGGTTTGAAGCTGAGACGAACACAAATAAGAAATTGGTGTCTCGAGAGAATCCCTCTAAGTTACACGTTTATGATAAACCGTTGTTTGTTGTACTTATTTTGTTCACGGCGAAAGCGAAGCGAGCTAAGCAAGGCTAGGTCATTGTGTAATACTAGAAAGCTGCTCAACGGCATCCTGGGCACGAGAGTGTTTGAAATGACTATTTATATCTTTTCGCCCCCTGTTGTACATCGATCCATCCTTCCATATTCACACACAGAAAGCAAACATCATTCTGACAGGGCAAAGTTAACAGAGGTCTTGACAGTGTGGACTTGGAGAGCTCCAGTACCATGGATGAATCTCTCCAGAATTTCTCATTCCCGTTTTTACCACAAAACAGCTGAGCACAATGATGTCATGCTCACGCAGGTCCCATCGCGGGTCATGTGGGTGATGGGAACTTTCACTGTCTGATGGTCGTTGATCCCAACGACCCAGAAGAACTTCGGAGGGTCCATTTGTTCAGCGAGAGGCTGGCAAGGTAATGTTTTTCCATTTATTTTTATTATTTGTCTTTTATATAGACTGCTTTAAACTGAGACTCACACACTAACTTTACAATATGATCACATCCTTTTTTTCTTTTGTTTTTGTCATTGTCAGTCCTACACTTTGATGCACACGTTCTCTCGAGCATTGTATTTAGAATAGTTTTTAGTGTGAACTAATAAATATCTCCATTTCTCAGGCCACCATTACATTTGTTGTTTTAGAAATAGAAATACCGTAATATGTAATATGACTCAGTTGCCAGGAGAGTGCACCAAAGATTCTGGAGTGCCATACATTTGTTTGCTTGACCATCTATTAGTAGGCTACTTTCTAGTTAATAGAAGATAACGAACAGACGGGTGGTGTCATTATAAATCTGGGGTGAAACCAAGTGATGATGAGTGACTCAAATTCATTATTTTCGAAAAGGAAGGGTGTAGATAAATTAAGAGAGGCTGGTTTTCATTGTCTGTCCATTCGCCTGATGTTGACATAAATAAAAACAACCCCCCCCCCACCTCCCCCAAAAAAAGAAGCACCGGTATATGTACACCACGTAAATCTCTATATTGTCGGTAAAAGCCTACATTACGGTTAATAACATTTGAAAAATAAATCCACTATTGTATGACACAGAGAAGTAATATCACGATCCGTAACGTGTTGACAATAAAGTCCTGTACATTGAACAAATTCTTCTTTGCTCCACTGACCGCCTTTGTTCCAGTGACTGTTGTTGAAAAGGGAAATAAAGCAACAAAGCTCGTGGTGGGCTGAGATTACTGGACAGAACTACTTTTCTCCAAAGTCACATTTTAAAACTCAGTTGACACCACTGCATTTACTAAACCAAGAGGGAGGTTGTACGGTACCAAGTTCAATATACCGTAATTTCCGCACTATAAGGTGCACCTAAAAGCATTCAATTTTCTCAAAAGCCGACAGTGCGCGTTTTAATCAGATACGATTTATATATCGATCAATAGTCTGGACGTAGTATTTTAAATGTTCTGTAAAGCACTTTGTTACAGCTGCAGCAGTTGTGAAAGTGCAATATAAATAAAGCTGTATTGTATTGTATTCACTTTGGGGGAGCTCCATTTAGTGGATGCATAGCACAACCCCAGCCACTATTGTGCCTTCTATTCGTTGCGCCTTATAATGCGGTGCTCCCTATATGTGAAAACAGTTTTAAAATAGGCCATTCATTGAAGGTGCGCCTTGTAGTGCAAAAAATATGGGGAGTCCAAAATTTCACTTATCGGTATCACTCATGGTGGCAAACTGTAGTAAAAATTTGTCAAAAGGTGCATGTCCAAAGCTGACCTTCTGGTATTATAATCCATTCAAAGTGGTAGCTTTGTCACAGTTATCAGTACATGAACTTAACCCCACCTCACCTCCTTAAAAAAAAAAGAAACTAGATTATTGGTGCTTGTGCACATTCTTTTTAATGCTCATTTTTAGATCTATACCCATTTTTAGGCAGGCGTGTTTGGCAGCATTTTAAAGGGGGGATTCATTGCTTTCACTTAAACCCATTTTTACATCTGTTTAACAAAATAGGTCACAGAGACTTTTCAAATTTCAACGAAACTAAGTCTCTGCAACTCATGTTAAAAAAAAAAAAAGACAACTTCAGTGTTAGTCAAACTACTGAGCCTTCTTTCGTGTTTCACACCTCTACTTGGCCTGTGGTTTGTGTCTGCGCTTACGTGGTTGTCACGTGAGTCACCTACTCAATATGCTGTATTCTTACATCCGACACAATTTCCACATTTCAAAGTTCAAAAAATAAATTAAGACAAATTCAGAGCGGTCCAGTGATTCGGGTGTCGACCTCACAGTGCAGAGGTTCAATTCAATTCCAAACTTCTTATGTGGAGTTTGCATGTTCTCCTGTGTGGGTTTTCTCTGGGTACTCCGGTTTCCTCCCACATTCCAAAAACATGCATGGCAGGCTGATTGAACACTCTAAATTGTCCCTAGGTGTGAGTGTGAGCGTGGATGGTTGTTTGTCTGCGTGTGCCCTGCGATTGGCTGGCAACCAGTTCAGGGTGTCCCCCGCCTACTGCCCAAAGAAAGCTGGGATAGGATCCAGCACCCCCCGTGGTGACCCTTGTGAGGATAAGCGGATCGGAAAACGGATGGATGGATGGACAAATTAGGAGATTTTGTTTTTCTTTGCTGATGTGACTGAAATGCGTATTGTTTTTTTTTTACCTTGTAATTCTGTTAAAGAAGTCTTGAAAAGTCTTAAATTGAACTTGAAGAAACCTGTAGGAACCCTGATTGTTGTGACATGGATCATATCCGATGTCATGAGTAATTTATGCAGAAAACCAGCTGATTCTAAAGGTTGTCAGACATTTTCCTTACTATGTCTTGTCTATGTTTTGCCTGGGAAAAAATAAAATAAAATAAAACCTTGCTTTGTTTTCTCCTAGACGGGCCCTGGCTATGAATGGTACATGCACAGGGGAACACGGAGTGGGCTTGGGCAAGCGAGCACTGCTCTATGAAGAGATGGGATCCATGACGATGCAGGTCATGCAGGGCATCAAGGATACCCTTGACCCAAACAACTTGATGAATCCAGGGAAGGTTTTGTTGCCAAGAGAGCCTCAAAGTGAAAAGTGAACCAAGTAATTAAATTGTTTAGAACACTTTCTGTATATGGGCACTCCCCTCCAAAATTATTGGAACAGTGAAGCAAATCCCTTCATTTTTGCCGCTGATTGAAAATATTTGGGTTTGACATCGAAAGATGAATAGATTCAAGGATCAGTATTTCAGCTTTTCTTTCCGGGTATTTACATCTGGATCAGATACACAACTTGAATAGAAGCTTTTATTTGAACCCACCCATTTTTTTAATGTGATGAAGTAATGGTACATGTGATTGACGGGTGTGTCCATTGCATTGATTATTCAAACACTAAATAGTGCTAAATGTCAAAGCTCCGCAAACACAGGCCATCAGCAATACAATCACGTGGAATGCCCTGAAGAAATAAATTTTAAAAAACCAATGAAGGGTGAGGAAAATGATAGCTGTTGACGACAACAATATTTTGATCGCTGTTTTGGAAGGCGCGCTGTTTCATGGTACGAGTGATGGTACAATTGAAAAAGTTAAATATGAAATTGACCTAAAAACTAGACTCAAATTCAGCCTAAGGATGTATTATCCAATTTGGGCATAAGATGACGTCAAAACAATTGTTTACTAAGCTCTCGCCAGCTCGCAACAGGTCCATTTACAGCGTATAATATATCAATCAAATATGGTTAAATTGAACATACCAAAGCCAATGCCTTTAAAATATGCCTTAAACAAATGGTTAACAAAGGGTAATGCATAAGATGTGCTTTACAACTGGATCATACAGTTTTACAGAATTACTGTTAACTGTTGTTTTATGATTATTACTTTTCTTTCTTCTTTTCGAATGTTGTCATGAAATGACAACATGGTATTATTATGGTATTATTGATCACAAATGCTTTGAAACTGCTTGGTGTAAACATTATTGCCGGAGAGCGTTATTTACTCCCAAATGATGTCTCCTGATGAAGAACCTGACAAGAACAAAACCTGTTGATAGCATGGGAGATAATGTATCAATATGAATTGTGAAAACATGATATCCTTTTTAAGCTGCATAGATGTGATTTTAATGCAAGTATGTGCATGATGTCTATCAGTGATTTGAGGGAAGATTGCGAGTTAAAGCGCCAGAGATAAACCGGAAAGCACTGAATTAAAATAGAACGGCTGTGTGGGTGTGATAGGACGCCGGACGCCTCAGTGCACAGCAGTGGAAAATTCTGATCAGCTAGAAAATGAAACTAGCCGCCGTGCCCTTTGAAGGGAAAAACAGCTGTGAACAGAAAAACATCATTTCCATAGCTCAGACCAGTTGTAGGTTGACGTAACCAAAAGTAGCCTCTTCGGAGCTCTAAAAACCTCGGTCCGGGGGCGATCGAGCGGACTCGTCAGGGCGGAGCCCTGTTCCCCCGGACCAACAATTTCCGGTACCAGACGAAAATAGGATCACAAAGATGACTCCTTATCGAGAAATTCAATATTACATTCAACTGGCAGAACTTGAATACAGGTATTGGGGTGGCTTTTCTCTAATACTCTGTTTTATTCCAACTAACCTCAGTTATTATGAAGCCGCTGTGTCTGTAAGGAGACGTAGACAATATACTACTCTTGCTTGTCGGAAGAAACGAGCCAATCGTATGTATTAAATGTCTCTAACCCAAAATTGTTGGCCGGATAATGTAAAAATAGGAAGTATAGAAATGATACTAAAATATTATTATAAAAATTAATAAGTAAATGACGGGGCGCTTAAGACTTGATCAATCTTGACTCCCTCAATGATGATAGACAAATACTTATTTCATTTATTCATTTTTATTCTTATAATCATTTTTACTCATTTATTCGTTTTTAATCTTTTTTACCTGACTCTCCTTTTATTCTCATTGTAATCACTGTGTGTTGTGACATTATTCTCATTTGATTTTAACCTGAAAAATACAATTTTAACAATGTTTTTGTTGTTGACAATAGTATTCCGCATCCTGGAGTTACGATGGTTGATTAATGCATGTTTTACTATAATTGTCATATTAATAAATGTGTCGAAATGCATTATATCGTCTACCGCAGTTGTTTTTATGATTCAATTCATATCACCACTCAACCTTCGTCGATGAATGAAAGGTTGCGCGCTCGCTAAAACGGGGCCACGTGATCGGTCTCGTAGAATGAATAATTAATTAAAATAGTTTACTCCGGCGTAACGAATAATAGAAACAAATCGGAACGATCCCGACCGCGATTGTTAAATTAATTCTAGGTCTTTACCAATTGCTACAGAAGAAAAAAATCGAAGGAGAGCCGTCGTTAAAGCGAAGCGGTCACTTATTAACCTTTAATTCTCGGTTACTTATTAGAGTTAAAAATAAGTGAAGGCGGATTCGGGTTAGCTCCGTGAATTCAAAGGCGGTCAGGAACCTAGCCGCATCTCTTTCGTAATCGACTCGCATGACATAAAGAACCTCCGTCTTCCCCAGCCGTCCCGCGTTACAGCGAGGATGGGGCGAGCCGTAAACGGGGGTTCGGGCCCGTTAGAAGGGGAGTCGATCAGGACTGTTCCCCGATACAGTCCTGTGGATAACCAGTTCTGGCAGCTGTAAAGAAAGAATCTAAAATAACTTAAATAATACGAATTTTAAACTGTCAGCCAAGTGTGGAATTTACCAAAATGCATTTTGATGAGCAAAATTTCTGCATGTGTATCTTATGGACGGACAAGAAAAACTAACATTTTGGTATGGCACATAAGCTCTATTTTCGCATACCAAGAAAAGAATACTGTCCCTATTGTAAAACACGGAGGACCCTCTGTTCTGTTCAGGGGCTCTGGCAGATGCTATCTTGATTCTTTGTAGGCGACAATTAAATCTCATGATGTACAAAATAAAATTCAATGATTCTGAGTACTTTAATGTCTTCAATTTTGAGTCGTCGTGTGTAATGATTGACGCCGGGTGTGTTTATTGTGTTCAAATATTGCTGACTGTGGCAAGCATTTTGCATCACATGAGCTTTCATTTGAGAATATGAGCAGAGTTCTTTTGCAACTTGTGTTTTAGCAGGGAAAAATGTGCTTAGATTTATGGGAGTGGGGGATTGTGTTTTGTGAACTGTATCTTTCGGTGAAATGTGCTTAGGATATTGGCAAATGGTGACTTGATTGAGTAAATGTGTTGAGACAACTTGTCATTTGGTTTCGAGCAGGGCTGTCAAATTCATTTTTGGCGCGGGCCACAATTTAGTTACTATTTTACTAGGAGGGCCGTTATGACTCAAACTATGTGAAGAAGTCAAGAATAACTGTTGATTCAACTATTGTTTAAGTTACTATCATGAGGGGTTTGGTAACAAGAAAATGCTTAGATTAAATGCACTTATTACATATGGGAATTTAAAATTTTGGTCGACATTGTAGAAAGGATCATGAAAGTTGACATGTTTGAGCTGCTTTCGTGGGCTACATAAAATGATGTGGCGGGCCAGATCTGGACCCCGGGCCTTGAGTTATCTCCACTGTGCTTCGGAATGTCTTTTACTGTTGTGTTTGTGAATTCTTGGAGGTGTTGTGTCTTTGCCTGTTTGAGTTGCCTTGTGTATGAAAAGTGATATACAGTCAAACCTCGGTTTCGAACATCTCTGTTCTCGACCAAATCGGTTTCCGACCAAAAATTTCGAGTTTTTTATGCCTCGGATGACGACTGAAAATCGGTTCTCGAACAAAGTGAGGCCGAGCGCACTTGAATGCGCCACTTGACTCCTCTCGCCTTCCTTACACGAGGAAGTGACGCTTCCTTGTGTAGCGTTCCATTACGAACCAGACGTGTTCGATATTTTTTTTTTTTTTAGAAAAGAGCGTGGTTTCGGTTTTCGAACAAATAGGTTTTCGAACAGCCTTCTGTAACGGATTATGGTCGAAAACTGAGGTATGACTGTACAGTATAAATAAAAATGTGTTGCCTTGCCTTCCCTAGTGGTGATTGGTGATATGACAATATAACTTACAGTCCATGTCAGCACATCACCTGCAGATTTGCATTATTTGTGGATTCATCATTTTTTTTCTCATTTTTGGAGTTGTTCCCCAGGTGATCTAGGACAACCCCATCCCCCTCCCTCCAATGTATCTCTGTTTTAATGGAAAAAATATGCTATTTATATACATATGGGCGGTCTGGTCGTCCAATGGTTAGTGTGTCGACCTCACAGCGCAGAAGTAACCGGGTTCAATTCCAGCTCCGGCCTCCCTGTGTGGTGTTTGCATGTTCTCCCCAGGCCTGCGTGGGTTTTCTCCGGGTACTCCGCCCCCCCCAAAAAAAAAACATGCATGAAAGGCTGATTGAACACTCTAAATTGTCCCTAGGTGTGAGTGTGAGTGCGGATGGTTGTTCGTCTCTGCGTGCCCTGGGATTGGCTGGTGACCGGTTCAGGGTGTCCCCCACCTACTGCTCGAAGACAACTGGAATCGGTTCCAGTACGCCCCGTGACCCTTGTGAGGATAAGGTGATTCAGAAAATGGATGGATGGATGTGTCAAAGTACCACTCCTTTCTGAATAAGGTGCTTTTTTTGGAGGAACAAGGTGTGAGTACGAGGCTGCAGGATTGCGCTTGCGATGAGTGTGCTCGCGAGTGTGTGACAAATGATGGACACCTTGTAAATGATTGCTTCTGTCTCTGATTGGTTGGTTTTGCTCTGGCGTAGTGGGTCACGTTTCAAATTAGATGGGGCCGGGGATTGCTGACTTTTTGACAGATCACGTTTATCTTGCATTACCAGCAAGTCATAATGACTGATTTAACAGAAATGAAAAACGTTTTTTTTTTCTTTCGGAACTGCCAATTCCCCCTTGGATTGTTCATTTTCCTCTATGGCCCGTGTAGCAAACATGACTCACCACATTGCCTTCCGCACAGCTGTTTCCTGTGGCAGCCTGCTCATGCTCTCTGTTTGAATGACTGTTGCGCCAATTCTGCCATAATTTAGCCAACTATATTTTACTCATGTATGCAAAGATACCTCCTTCTTTATTATGTGACTTTCTATTATTCACCCTAGTGTCAGAAGTGTATTGGGGTCGAACGGGCTCCTGGCTCATAGCAACAGAAGAGGCCATCAACATCAGATTTATTGGCCAGTATGGAACAACATGCACAAGGAATTTGTGTTCACAATCCTCAAAGTGGCATACAATACTATCCATCACTATTATTTGGATAATTGAGTTACTATCAGGGTTCCCGCCCATCCTGGAAAATGAGAGACCAATTTCCCGTTATGGAAACCCATGGGAAATGAGAGAAAAAAAAGGAAAATTTCCTGGAAAAGCTTGAGTTCTCCTGGAAAGTTATTTTTCCTTCCTCTGCTTCTCCTTACCTTGTGGGTGAATGCAACGTTGCAAGATTTACAGACTTTTCAGACACGATTAGGGATTTATTTTCTCCA